CTGACCTTGTGTTCAGTAGGCTGCATCTGTAGCAGCCTGCACCGGGGGCCAGTAAGAGATATCACAAAAGGGTCTATCTTTGGAAACGTATCCTTGATGGTAACAGCATCCAGGAAGTGGACTCCATGGCTGAAACGAGGCAGTGACAGTCCTCTGAAGGTCAAGACGAAAGCATGGCAATAATGGGGGCTTTCCGGAGAAGCGCAAGATCGTGACACATGCACAGCCCTACAATGTCGATATAACATCAAGGTGTGAAGACAGTAGGCTGTTCCAGTCAAACCTCGTCCAGGTAGTTGAGGTAAACATCAGAAACCTTTATTGATTCATGTCGAAGGAGCATGCGTCATCAAAGGTTGGGGTGGAGAAAATGTCTCTGAACAGCAGATCACCAAAATGTTAATCGTCAGCTTTGACACAAAGCCCAAAATCCTATCACGCAGGCCTGGGTACCCACAGTTTGAATAGCGACCAACATGATCCCATGCAACAGAGTTATGCAAACCAAAGACTACCCGTGCTGTCGTTCCTGATAAGCTATCAAAGCTAGGTGGGGAGAAGTCCAAAGGGTGCGACAACATTCACCCATCTATGTTGAGACAATGCGCCAGTACCAGAAAACTCACGGCACAAATTTTTAACACTACGTACCTAAACAAACGCTCCAGTGGAAGTGAAAACATGCCATCCTCCCCCTTATCTTCAGTGGACTAGACAGGCAGAACCCGAACTGCTACAGACCCGCAATACTTTTACCAGTAATGTCAAATGCTGTGGAAAGCATGATGAACGACCGCGCTGGGGAATGCCTGGACACAATACAAGCTCTCAGAGGTGTTCGGCACAGCCTCCGGAAGGATAAGTCCCACGCCGCCACCTTCTGACAGCCTGCGACAACTGTACAGCATGCTAGGATATGAAGATCCCGCTCCAAGTGATTCTCTGGATTTCTCCAAAGCCGTTGATTGGTAGCTTCATGCACCATCTTAATACACAAAATAGCGTGGTTAAGTATGTGTGATGGGGTGCCGTCGTGGCTGCGGAACTACGAAGACAATAGGAGGTTCCGCACCAAAGTCAGTAGGGTCCATTCAATATGGATAGCATCATCGTCCAGTGTACCACAAAGAGCAATTGCGGGTCGGTTGTTTTACCTACGGTTTGTGAATGACCTCCCATTGCATATCAGCCCACCAATTCGCCTTTACGTTGGCGATGTCAAATTATGGAGAGTAGTAACGTCCGAGGCGGAATCGAATGCACTGTATGACGACGTTGAATCATTCGAGGAGTGGGCGAAAAATAACGAATTGGCATTGAACCTAGCTAAATGCTGGTCCATATTTCCAATGAAAAGTATCCTACTGTCTCTGAGGTTCACATCTTTCTCATGCTCCACGGGGAGGTACTTGGGTTCAATGGTGACAGGGAAATTAAACACCGGAACAAATTACCCGGGAGACGCCTCGAAGGCATACTCCGTACTATACTTTGTGCGCCGACAACTATGTGTCCTCACCCAGAACTCTTTTCTAAACCCTACAAGATAAACATATTACTTCTTTTGGAGGCGCACAACGTCTTTGGACCACCACACTCGAAAGAGGGAGCAAACCTCCCGGAGGAAGTTCGGTGGCGAGCCACAAACGGCGTTGTAGAGATGCGCCAAAAACCACACATGGAGAGACTAATGGGCCTAGACCTATACTCTCCTAGTTATCAAAGGCTATGAGGTTATTTGATAATGGCTTACAAAACACTAAATACCCTGAGCCACCTGAACAGAGGAATACTACCAAGTGTCCACCATGTTGATCCTCGTGAAAACCTCATAAGGGTTGCCCGCCAAGGATCAAAGTCTCGTGTGTGTCCACGCCTCTCTTCGAGTCCTCCCGCACTAGAATCCATTGCCGACGGAGATAGTCTCCGTCCAAACTGTCAACAGTTCCAAGGAAATATTACAGGCAGCAACCTACGGTTTACGCTCATCTGGTTGGATTTCGAATTAGGTGGAAGAAATCAACTGCCGTCATACTGAGAGTATTTACGAGTAATTTAGCAGACTATATTGCTCATGTCTTCCCTCTCTGGGCAATGGTTTATTCAGCTTGCATAAGATGTGGAAGAACTAACCATTGTCGAAAACTGTCTACGGGAAAATGGTTACCCAAAAAGTTCACTAACAAGTACGGTAAGACGGATGAAAAGCGAATTAAGTGCAGTATAGTTGCCAAGAGGCTCGTCTATCCACACCTTGCTTCCGAAAAGAATGAAGTCGCTACACGGCTGATTCGTAGACTGAGTGCTGCAATAAAAAGGACTTATCCAGCTGCCAGGTTAGTCTGTGTATGTGAGACTAGATGCCCATTGAAACAGTTCAAAGTGGAAAAGTTCTGGACTCTTGTTACCTCCAATTTCGTCTACCAATTCACATGCTCGTGCAAAAGCACATACATTGGAAGTACAGAGAGTGGTTCTTGTACACATTTCTGAAGATATCCACGCGATGAAATGGTTTAATCGCCTGGCATTGGCTTAATACTGGGCATGAAGTTGACGTACTTAAGTCATTCAATGTGATCAATAAACAACAAAAACCCACTGTTTCGCAGTTTGTTGAAGCAATTTTAATTTCAACACTCTGACCTGATCAGCGTATTCAGAAAGATACTAATGACAATCTTTGATTACCTTGGAAGTTTTAATCTCCTAATTTTTTAAGTACAAGAATGCATGATCTGACTTTTTCTTGTCACTTTATTTTTCAACCTGTTTCAAAACCTTCACTCACTTCATCTCATTTTTCAGTGTACTGAAAACCTGTTAACCTTAATATTACGTTTACTTAACTATGATGTCCTCTTTTACCAACTCTAGAATAACATTGTTCACTACCCCCGTCCTATTTATATATACATCCGGATAAGTAAATATAATTATTTCTGCTATCTTTCTCGAATATTCATTCTGTCACTGTATAAATAGTTAACCTTTGAGTAGTCTTAACAACTTCATCTATATCCGTCAAACTAAATCCCTGTTACCTTCTATCTCATATCGAAAACATTTTTGTTGATTTATTAATGTAGCACATCAGATAACACATTGTTCATCATAAACATTATATAATCTATTGGTTGTAAAGTAACTGAAGAGAATCTACGAAATACATGCATGTAAATTCTGCTACCATTATCCTTCTTGCTTTATCCCAATTTGTGGAGGGGATGAATTGTATGAAATTTGTAATTACAGTAAACCTTTCCTGATAATATTGAATTCTCTCTTCATACTATTTGTGGTGATCTGACCGTTTGAAATAATGGAGAATATTTGAAGCTCAGGTGGATGGTCTTGGTTGTATTGTGTTCTCCGAGCTGGGTTATTTAATCTTGAAGCTTTCATCGCCTTGCTAGACGACATCATCAGCACTAACTTCAGTATAAAGTGAGCTGTCAATATCTCTCCATGAGTGATTTAGTAGCTTACTCCGACAATGTGGTCTGTGATTGGTTGTTTCCTTCGGTTGTTGTGTCATTGATTGTATAGACCTTCCTGTTGGCTGTTCCTCTGCTACACCTCTGACCTTTCTGTCGTCTATCATGTTTCTTATTGGTTGATAGATCGGGTCTACGTCTTTACATCTGTTGATTGCTGACTGACCTGAATGCCAAGCTTTTAGGGATTCTCCGGTATTCTTTGTGTTTCCTCTGTCCAAAATTTCTACATTGTCAAAATTGAACTCATTCCTATAGTTATCCACGTGCACTGAAATGAGTGACGAAATGTCTTGGCGTTCAGTGGCCAATTGGTGCTCATGTAGACGAAGGCGAAGAGGGCAACCACTTTGTCCAATGTAGTGCTGACTACAGTTATTGCAGTTGATTTTGTAAATGATATTCGGTTTGTCCTCTTTGGTTGTCAAATCCTTTGGTCTGCATAATAGTGTTTGGAGGGAATTTGTTGGTTTATGAGCCACACCAATTCCAAGTGTCTCAGTATTCTTGTCACGATTTATGATGTATACTTTATGTATGGTAAGATGATGCGTTTGTTGATTTCTGTCGATGACTTTGTAGTTGTTGATGCACGGGATAGGCATCTCCTGATAAAGTTTCATGGGTAACCATTTTACCTTAAGAAAGACATCAAGTAATTTTCTTCGTTTTTCCTTGAAGTTGTTGTACTGCAGTGTGTTCTTGCTCTTTTGAATAGAGTTTGCACGCAACTGATCTTGTGGGTTGTTGGGTCGTTGCCACTGTAATTGAAGACTTGGTCAGTGTGTGTTGGCTTCCTGTACACTTGGGTTTCCAGCTTTCCGGCATTTGTCCTACTGACTAAAACATCCAGGAATTGTAGTTGGTTGTTTGACTCCTTCTCCATTGTGAATTTGATGTCATTGAAAACGTTGTCGATCAAACTGTGGGTGTTTTCTATATCATCCTTTTTAATGATGACAAAAGTATCGTCTACATAACGAATCCAAATTTTTGGTTTGATCACAGGTAGAATAATGGCTTCCAGTCTCTGCACCACTGCTTCTGCTATTAATCTGGATATCGGTGATCCCAATGGAGTTCCTTTCATCTGTTTGTATATCATGCTATTGAATTGGAAGTATGTTGTCATACAAAGGTCGATGAGTTCCAGCTCAGTGAACACAATACAACCAAGATCTGACCATTTTTCTCTCTGTTTTTTTCGTTCTGCCTTCATTATCTTTTTTAATAATAATTCCGTTGATCTAAGTAACCTTTCTCAATTTTTATATAATTTATTCGACAGTTTCACGTGTGATCAGATTGTTCGAAATATATAACACTAATACATTGCTTGTTTCAGATGATCTTCGTCATCTTATTACACTGTTTGTGTCTATAATTTTCATGTGCTATATGTGAGTTTCTGATCATTTAGCATAAAATGCTAAAAATGAAAGGGAGGAAGATTTAGGGTGATGGATGTAAGCTTTTCCAATGATTACAGAAACAAGTCTACATCTGAATGAAGGCTTTATTACTGAACTTTAATACCAACAAATCGTGTATAATAATGTACATAATTTGTGGAAAACTATGCATTAACACGGTATATACGTTCGCTAAACATTTTAATTACAAGTGTAGCTATGAACGCAAATATAGCGAATACAAATGTGAACGTTAGCATTGTCCAGATTAAAACAGTATGTGATTGGTAGAAAATTTCTTCCTAGTTTAAATAAAAAGTAACACAGAGAGATACTCAAAATACTAATTAGTAAACCAATGAATTATACAAATGTACAACATCAATAATCAAGCCGATATGCTAGTTTCTACATGGTTACATTGCATAAAATAACTTCTAAGTTATAATAAAAGAGTAAAACTTGGATACTATGATTGACTGTTTTTTCACTTTAGTTTATTAGATGTACCACACTGATACAGCGTTATTTACCGGATAACTTTCTCGAGCATAATTTACTACTCATATTTATGTCTTACCAACAGTTATACTAAAAAAAGGGTTTCCCTAATACAGCATATTCATTTTGAACATGTTTATCCTTTATAAATAGTAAAATGCTCACTTTCGGCCAAAGGATTTTCTTCATTAAATAGTTAATCATATCCTTTCAGGTTAATAGAGATTATATTTTTAAGGTTGTATTCATCACGCAGTGACATCACTTGGACAAGCGTTGAAAACTTGGGAGAACTGGGAAGATGTTTCATCTTCGTATGGGGCTCCTCAGCAGCATGCAGCCACGGCCCTATCCCCAGGGATCAAAATCAGGACCTTCGGATTTTAGAGGGAACGCATTAAATATTCAGGCACAAGATCAGCGTTCAGTGATCCACAACTTCCTACTTCTGTCAATTCACAAGGAATATTGAGAGCAACTTCATCTCTCCACGAAGAAATACTAATTAGTACAGCTATTTTCAGTAAGTACCGCATACTTTTCGTGCATTTTATTACCGTATTAACTCAAGTACGCTGTACAGAGTAACTTCAATACTTCAGCTTTCAAAGAAAACTATGTCAAGGTTTCGCATATTTTCAACACCCATTTCAAACTATAAAACTTGAAAACACTAGATTTAATATTTTAGTTAGCCTCAGGCAAAGGGCAATTAAAAGTCGAAGTTCGTATTAAGTTTCTTTGTATTCTATTCCACAACTGTGGTCACATCGATTCCTAAAACTTTTTGAGTCCAAATTCGAGATTTTGAAGCTAATGATGAAGAAATCGATGATTCTATTTCACCTCATATTTCGTGACATGGTATTAATATGTTCATAGTGTTGACCTACCTAAGCGTAAATAATAAAACGTTCACTTTAAAATGTTTGAGAGGCTTTACGTGGTGTAGGGAGTGACGAAGTATCAACTGCCCCCACAGCTCTAGGAGCACTCATCTCAGATAATTATCAAATATGGACATAGTTACTTTCTAACATATCTCTACTTCTCTCAGTCAATATGCTAAAATAACCTTTATTTTTTTCCAGCCCCGTATTCCTTGATAACGATTTTACTTCATGAAACAGCATCTTCGGTCTTCAGAAGTGCACTAAAAGCTACATGTTGCAGTCTTCAATGTCTGTACCCTTTGTCAAATCAGTCGACGAGATTTACTGGCCCAAACTAAGACATCTCGTTTCATGGATGCGTAGTATGAAATGTGTATAAGGAACCCAAAAGTGGGTGTTCGTTTAACCCTGCTCAATCAGCATGATGAATGTGCCAAGTTCACCCTAGGACTTTCTTGAGATTCAATGGTTAGTTCTCATTGACTTACTGGTGGGGGTATAGCACTAAGTCCTGAGGTAGAAGAGAGACTGCTCGACTGCATCCCAGTTGAAAATCACCTGTATGCTGTTAAAATTAAAGTTCCAGTGTGGAATATAAAGTAGACATTGTCTCTTCGTAATTTCTAATTATGCACCCACTGACTGCAGTTCAGATGAAGGTGAAGACAGGTTATGCCAAAAGCTGTCTTGCCCTGTACTTAAAGCTAAACTCGCAGATTTGGTTGTGGTTGTAAATGATATCAATGCAAAAATGGGTAGACTAAGTCAGACAGAAAGACACTTGGGTGGCACATTCAGAATCCTAACCGAAAGAACAGATGACGGTGATCACTTGCTACAACTGTGCTCAGACAACGACTTACTTCTAAAATAATGGCAGTGTTCAGCGTAATTTCTACTGATCTCCACTCAACAACGGATACAAGTAGGACGTATTCCTATCAATTATCGACCGAGATGCTCTGCTGGAGATTACTACTCCTAATAGAGCACGTGTTTTGCAAGCGATCGGGCGTATATCTGCGCTTAAAAGAACGTCGGAAAACTACAGAAACGTGACTACTCCAAGCGTAGCTTGACAATGAAAATATAACAGCCACTTTCAGTGAGAAACTAACTACATATTTAGTGGAACATGACAATGTCAATCATCATAAAGTAGCTTGATATCATTTCCACTCTGCTGTAAAAACAGCATTCAAGATTGTAAATGACCCTCCAAAAGATGTTAAAAAGAATCAGTGGATCTCAACAGTTTCTTGTGAAATATTGAATTTAAGTAACCGTTTCTTTTCCTCACCTAAACCAAGTAGGCTACGAATGTAACCAGATTATAATGACCAGTAAACTTCAAAGTAGTGAACACCCTTACGCAAATTTCAGAAGTGAACAGTAATATTGACCAATTTATTGACAATATCAATGGAAAATGAACTCACTGCTTTCGATGAAAGACGTGATTTTTGTGTAGCTTGAAGTCCTGAGGCCAAATAAAGATGGCGATCACACGGTCTTGGTCTACAACCTCGGTGCTCATACTGTCGCCAAATAACTTCATTTCTGTTCACAAACCTACGATAACCAGCAGTTCGATGTATTTCTTCATCGCAGTCAGATGCCTTACTTAAACAATCTCTGTATCGACTGCGCTGTCTCATTCCCCATCTTCTGGTGCCTACTCCATATTCCCACTTCTCTGGAAAATGATTTGGAGGCACTTGAGTAAATGATGACTGACATGATGGTACACAGAATGACCATGGTGACCATAATGACCAAATATTTTTTGATACAGGAAGACTGCATCGTTCACCCCTCCATCCATCATCACAAATGCAACGTGCTATTAAGCGTGGTTTATTTTCAAACCAAGTAAAGGAAATACCTTTGAGCTTGGCTTTTTCTTCCTCAACTGAACCATGGTCACTCTAGAAAATGTATCAGTTGATGTGGAAAGTAAATTGTCTTTAGGCTGAAATTAAGTCCATGTATAAAGGTAATAAGCATTATTAATAACCACATTTAGGTGTCTAGACTGTTTAGTCTGAAGAAATTTTCATTAGTTAAGTAAAGCCAGATTTAAACTGTTCTTGCTGATTATAAATTCATCACTACAATAAATTGCATTTATTTTTATAATCAAGAAATATTTCTCGTTGCAGTCTGTTTTATTCCCACTTGTATACATATGGAGAATTCGGTTGCTACATTTTTTAATCTTTCTTGTCGCTGACCTATTCAGCAGAGCCAATCAGCCTATGTTGATAATTTGATTCTTCATACAGAAATCTCCTTATTTCATGCATTCAGATATCAACTACATATTTGATGGTCATTAGCAATGGATTCTAGAATGCATGTCTTGCCTAATTTCTCACTCATCAACTGGATGCACTTGTATCCCAGTAAGTGCTCATATTTCAATGAAGGCTAATCAATTTATTTGAGTTATTAAACAGTAAGATAGATCACAATCCCAAAAAGTAGGGAAACACGCTGAAAAAAATGCAGCTATTATAAAATAGCAGCTTACTGAAAAACACTTTGTCCTGCTAAATGGTAGATGCTGTGGTCAGGTTTCAGTAAGAACATCAATATAGACGTAGTTAGATCCAACTGAGAGATTCTAAAGAGGACAATGTATGCATCCTGGATTTCACTAATAGCTTCTGCCTGATACTTAACAAGAAACTTGGATTTGAAGCATGTTACAATAATTCAAACATCAAAATGATATAAAAGGCCTTTAAATATGCATAGTACATATAAATTTGCATGAAGGAGATGTTTCCAGTCATTTCGTTGGTTACCTTTACAGTAAGAAGTTTCCACATTTGTAAGATCACTCAAGTAATTCATATTTTTATATCAGTTAATGTTATGTTGGTATATTAAAGTCTAGTTTCATGATAATTAAATTCCGTGTTCTACTACACAAACCGGCGTTCTCATATGGATCATATGAGTAAAGATTTTCACAGAAATATATTCCAGTATCACTAGCTTTCAAGATAATTAATTTAATGAACAAAGTCTATGAAAGTATGGAAATCATACTTTAGATCTTTTTCAGAATTCATGGTTAAGTTCACGTGCCATACAGAAAAGGATTTGTACCCAGCATAAAATTGGTCAAAATATAAAAAACTTGATGCATTTTGTTCTTTTTAGGCATATATATATATACAGTAAGATAAGCGAAATTTTATAAGCTACAGCTGATCAACTTATTGGCTTCTTTCTAGATATACACAAGCTGTCGCTGGAACGAAATAGTATGTTCAGAAATGTGAATTTCCTTAGAAAATGGATGAAAATTTATAAAATTAGAAAAAGAATACCTTTCTTCATATAAATTAGAAGTTACAATGTGAATTAATAAGTGGATAAGTTTGGTGACAAAAATTCACCTGAAGAAGTAAGAGTAGAAAAGAAAAATACAATATTGAACTAATGAATATTTTCCATAGTTGGTAGACGAAAAAAAAGAACGGTGATCGACTAATTTTCGTCAAGTTTAGTGATAACTAAAAGCTTTATCCTATTAAGTAGGAAGACTAAGCAATAGTTCAGAAGTTAGTGCTGATGATATTGTCTAGAATGATGATGAAAACTTCACTGTTAAATCACCCAGCTCAGACAGCGCGACACCATCAGAGTAATCTTCTTGAGCTACAAATACTCTCCATCATATTTTGGATGTCTACATTACATTAGATTTTTAAAAAGATTGTAAGCATCCAGTTTGTTGATAAGATTCGATATTCTGAATAATGCGATCTTAAAACAGGAACAATGCTACTCTATTCAAGTGATTAACTTATAAAGATCCTTGAAAATTACTTATATTCCTTCACAATGACTGACTAAGAGTAACTAGTGATTGAGTACACAGAAAATGATAATCAAATTTAAATTATTTATCCATCCTTTTATCTTGAATGATGTTTGATTTATAAACGAAGTAAGATATAAAACATTTTATCATAAAAAAATTGTTTTAGAGTACAGATATGTGCATTTGACCATGAATTCAACCCTACATTAGTTGTTTCTGGCAAACATTCTAAAGTAACTTTTCCATTTTTTACAAATTAAGATTACTATTGTGCATCTGTTGTAGATAACCAGTAGGGATAGTTTCTACGAATTTTGACTAAATTCCCAAATGATCTGAAAAATTTTCACCTAAAATAGGATTTCGATATTACAACGGTAATTAAGGAAACCTTTGACCTATTATATTATTATTTATATTATTTGTCCCTTGGGTTCCTAGTGGGACATAGGGCTTCAGTAGCAGGTCTCCACTCCACTCTCTTCTCTGCAATCTTTTCAACCTGACTCCACCACTGCCCACAAGCTCTCATTTCTCTCTCACACGATCTCCTCCATGTCACACTCACCTTGGACACCCAACTCGTCGCTTCCCATCTCCATCCCACTCGAGCAACTGGCCTGCCACCTGATGTCCCCAGTCTACCTTCTCAGTGTATGCCCAATCAATCTCCACTTCCTTCCTCTGCATATTTGTTGAGAGATAGGTTCTTGGTTAGTTCGTTTCCAGAGTTCCTTGTTGCTTATTCTAATCATTCTGGCCATCTGAGTTTCAGTAATGAGTCAGTGTAGGCAGTTGTTGATGGATGTCTGTAGTTTATTGGAAATCCCTCTCGTAACGCGCCAAGTCTCTGAACCATACAGAAGCACTGACTTGACGTTGGTGTTGAAAATCCACATTTTGTTCCACATGCTGAGTGCAGTAGATCTCCACACTGGTTTCAGGCTAATGAATGCCTGTCTTGCTTTTCCGATCCTGGCTGGCTTTGGCGTCCTCCTGTACGCCTTCACCTGTAGTTGAAACAGTTCTGCCTAAATAGGTGAAAGAGACTACTTACTTTAGGCTTCTCCCACTGATGTTGATTGCAGCTTGTTGTTGATGCTGTTGTTGGTTGGGTATCATCATCACCTCTGTCTTCTCTACTTTCACTTGAAGTCCCGTCTTCGCTGCCACGCCTCTTCTGTCAACTTGTTAGTTTTCGCTTGTAGATCTTCGAGATAGTGCCACGAGACATCAGACATAAATCATCGTCGGCAAAATCCAAATCTTCTAGGTTCTTTTCCACTGTCTAGCTTATCCCCCTATATCGCTTCTCACTCTCTGTTGCATGATCCAGTCCCACACAATAAGGAATATGATGGGTGAGAGTAGACAGCCTTGTTTTACTCCTGTCTCCACTTGAAAGGCATCACTGAGCTTTCTGTTGCGGATTACTTGGCATGTGGTGTCGTCATATAGCTGTTGAGTAAGGTTGATAATGGTTTTTGGTATTCCGTAGTGTTGAAGTAACTGCCGAATTACTTCTCGGTAGACGCTGTCAAATGCCTTGAAGAAAATTACGTGTAAAAAATAGGTTTTAAAGCTTCCAATGTGTGTAGCACATATTACAGTCAGGAATATGAAGATATGCAAATTCTACAGAACAGTGCGTGTTTGTCTGAAATAGCCTATCACATAATACTCCCATGTCGTTACGTCAAAAACCTGTTGTAAAGTACTGATCGATATAGCCTTAAAGTATTTGCCAAGAGTTAAAACCAGTCGACACAGTATGGATGATTAGTCATCAACTAAATAACCTAGACGATTGGTCTTTTTATTTTGACGCTGAGCGATGTAGATAAGAGAAATCAGACCAACAACATTTTCTCCAGGATTGCAGAAAAACTGTGGTGATGGTTACCAATCAGTACAAAACTTTGGTTCAGAGATTCTCGACGACTGAATTTTAATAAGTAATGTATTGTGGTTCCTGGACAATATATACTCTGGTGTTGTTTCCATATACTGCTCCAAAGTATATTTCATCACTGAGTTAATTTCTTTATTAATATTTACTTTATTTTTCGCTATGCGATGAAACACTATAATTCACTATTTCAGGAAAGAGCGTTCAATAGTTCCAATACATGATGATCAATTCTTATGTTTAAACAAATACGGTATTCATGTACACCATGAACAATCAAACAAACAGATTCATGTGGTAATCAGTATTTTTTTTAAAAACTGTTTTTCATCATGTATATGTTATCAGATAATACCTACCATTACACAAATACCATGTTTACATGGTTCCAGTATGCAAGGATCAACACGAATTAAACAATTGTCTGATGCACGTTCCCTTGGTAGTAAAGTTGTGTTTACCAATTTTTTATAACCTCTTATGCACTGACAAGTGTAAGTACCGAATTCTTTACTGGGTATACACTTATTTCCATCCGCAACTCTACAAGCGATATCCCCCATAATCACATTTCCAACTGGCATTTTACATGGATCCTTTTGCTACAGATGAATAATAAAAAAAGGTTATATTTAAGTCTAATAGTTAATAAAACTAATCTACATTACAGATTTGTGTGTAAAAGTTAAGAGCGAGAGAGATTTGACAAGAATATCTTAACAAATATTGGAAAGAAGTGAGATGAAACCGGCTGTCGACGATAAGTTTTTTATGCAAGATATGTAAATGACACATTTGTAATACTGAAAGATTTGAATCATGTCTGAGAATTGTTTCAAATTATGTAGAATGCTCCACTGAACATTGGTTTTATAATAGAATCGCCTAAACTTGCTTGATTAATCGACAAAATAGTGCGACGACGATACATTTAGGAGTTATAACAACCCCAGAGATACATGGACTTGACAATATGTAGACCACAACAGTATTTATCTAGTACACTACAGACGTGGATTAGTCAAAACGTAGTTCAACACAGTCAGGAACCTTTATTCAGAAGACAAAGTAAACGACGAGTAATACGTCCCTGAGACACATCTGTTAGATAGCAGTCACCCGAACAATTTTATCAAGTAACATTCAAAAATATACACAGAGAGAGAATGTGGCTACAGATGAGAAAAAGCTCTGCTTACTTAGTTAGTACATAAAAAAGAATGGTACAGACCTTTCTTGATAGTACGGATCCGGCAGTGGAAATGGTTCCTTAATATAATACTAGGTGGAAGGACAGAAAGATGAGGTTATGTTCGTTATCTTGAATATGTTCCGAAGAGCCTGTGACTGAATTGCTGGAAACTGTTAACAAGTTCAGTCACACGACATTTAGCCAAATTAGGATATAGATTGGATATATCTACAACATTTGAAATCATAAACTGATAACAATCCTCTATTTTATTTTGTTTCCCAGTATCAATAACAATCAGACTCTTTGAATATGACCTTGTTAACTATGCTTTTGTCATTGCTATCTCATTTCATATTTCTTATCATTTTTTGTTTTTATTATCCGTTCCACATATTTTGTGTAATATAACATTCAAACGTTTTATATGGAAAATCTGCTGTTATTGTTATTATTACCATCATATTATTATAGTGATTATCATTATTATTACTGATTATTGACATACTTGTTATTCTCCGTTAATTTGTTGGATCGAATTGTTGGATGTCTATTGGCATATGGGCTCCTATGTGGATACCTCGATATTGCCTGAATGTTAATTATGATAAATTGGTTGGTTTTGGCTAGCAGAAGAATCCAGGACGCGCGTTTCGTCCTGAGGTACAGGTACATCCAGTTGACGAGTCCCAAACAAGACGAAACGCGCATTTTGGATTCTTCTGCTAGCCACAACCAACCAATTTATCATAATTAACATTCAGGCAATATCGAGGTATCCACATAGGAGCGCATATGTCAATAGAGTTCGAACAATTCGATCCAACAAAACAACGGAAAATAACAAGTATGTCAATAAATAGTAATAACTACTACCCGTTGTACAAGAAGTGGCTATCGTGCCTCAGTGGCCTAGTGGATGACGCTTTGGCGTTTGAAGCGATGGGTACGAGGTCCGAGTCCCAGTGGGAACAACATCACTGGGGTACAGGTACATCCAGCTGATGAGTTTCAAACAGGACGGAACGCTCGTCCTGGATTCTTCCGCTAGCCACAACCAACCAATTTATCATTATTATCTTAGTGATAATTTTATCACTTTAAATATTCTCTCACACCCATTGTTAAAACTCTTAGCTTATCCTTCTAAATAGCTACAAATAAACAAACTTTATCACTATTATTCATAATGCTAACTTTTCTGAACTGAGTTTTGCCTGTTGTATGTTCATTTTTCAAATGTACTTGGTTTCTTTGTTCTAACTCAAAAGTATGTTTCTCATTTTATCGCGTGATAATTTTGTACTTATTCCCGACTATTTGTTTCTGACGTGAAGTCACAAAATAATTATGAGACCACTTTATTCGGTAACTCATGTTGTTCTTACTATGGTGATTAGTATATTCCATTTAATGAAAGCTTAACTGGTTTCGCATCCTAAAACATTATACAAATAGACTAGAGTTGCAAATTACTTGTAGTATCTCACTGACAATGACTACAATTCTTTCTACTGTCTTTTGCCTAAAAAATCTGTTTCCAACATTGACTTTCACCAAACTGGAAGCATAAGGAAAGAAATTCATTTTTCTAGTAATACTTATGGATGAATAATGTAATGGGTGATAAAGCTACCTTGCTGATAAATGCAGGCAACTATAAAACCAATGCTTGAAGCCATATTTGATTAATTGTTAATATTTTGGGATTGAATTCATCAAGGACTGATATCAGTTGGAGGAATATTGAAAACCTGGGAGTAATTAACAGCTGTTTCTTCCTAGTATGAGACTTCTCAGAAGTGCATACCCAGAACCCTACCAGGGATCGAACTCAGGACCTTCGGGTCCCATGGTGAGCACGTTACCATTGAGGCAGTGAGTCGAAATTCAATGGTCTATATTTCCTACTTCTGTCATTTCATACTACAGCAAGACCTACATCCAATGTCATCGTGGAGTAACACAAGAAAACAACCACTCCCTTTAAATACAGCAAATTCTGCTTTAATCATATATCAGAACATCAGGCTGCATATTGAGCTCGAGTCTTAGTGGGAACAAAATCACTCACTAGGGTGTAATTACAATCAGCTGAAGAATCCCAAATAGGAGAAAACGCACATCCTGGATTCCACTACTAGTCATCAAGCTGAATATAACATCAGGATACAAAATGTAAAATTTCCTCTTCATAGCGGATTTTTTTAAAATTTCATATACTTTTTCTGGTTGCATACATTTAACAAACATAATACTATAAAGGTTTTAGTCCTATGTTTACCTACTTGATCACAATATGTTCCAAAATATTCATCTTTGCATATACATCTTTCAGTATGATATAAAATATTGCGATTTGATTGACTTGAATTTTTAATGTTAACTTCTATTGGAAGGATAAATTTTGTTCCAATACGTGAACATTTATTCTCTATAGTATATTTAAAAAGATCATTTCTTTTGATACTGATTAAATTATTTACTTTTTCAGCTCTTTGACGCCATCCATAAGGTAAATAGCATGCTTTTAATTGTTCTTTCCATATGAAATCTTTTGGACATTCACATTTAAAGCTTTGAAGATGTACTAATCCAACTAATTGAATAATAAGTAAAACAAAATAAACTTGAAATTTTGATCAAAAGTCTCTTGAAATATTTTTAGAGACATTTTAAAAATAAACTAATAATCATTATTACTAATAAGAATATCTAAGATAACAACAACTGACTTAAAATATTGATAATACTGCACAAGTGTCCAACTCAATCATCTGATGAATGATGAGAAGTTATACAACTTATCCTCTCAAACTTTTTGCTGAGCTAAATATTCTTATTCAAATGCACGTGGTTTGAAATCGGGTAAATGGATTTACCAATAAAGCAGTAGCCATTCAATAAGGATAGTCAATTTACTTAGATTCACTTTAGCATCACAGAAGAAAAATTAAAGATAAAGAAACTAAAATAATCTCACTTGGAATCGTAGGTAATAAAAACCTGCACTCAGCTACCTTGTGCACATTTGTGCAGTAGGCAATGAGCCATACTTATTTCATGAGGACTAGGGTTACTATCTGACTGCCCAAACCTTGGTAGGTGGAGGTGGGTTTGAACCCATGACCAACTGGTTTAATTACTATCTCCGTAAACTACTGAGCCACAACTTCAAGAATTGTACATAACTAACACACAACAAGAAGAGATTGAAGAAACAAATACCTAAAGTGTAACGTTTTCTATTGTAAGCGATGACAATTCGTAAATACGTTTGCTCTACTGAGATCATTTTTGAACCCTATTACCTAAACTGTTCTATCATCGACCTTGATTATCTCAGTACTCCAAAACAAGAGGTATACATACTCTCTACAGGAATTAAACCTGCTATCGAGTTAATCAAAAGTTTGTCTGATTTATTGTTTTAGCGCCCCTAACCTTGTAAAAGATAATCTCGCACCAAATGATAATAGGTATAAAGTGAAACTGTGACTTCGAATATGTAATGACTAAATTAGTTATTATCATTTAAAATAACTGAGATTGCCGTAGTTTCGCAAATTAATATTTATACTGGGGGATGATTGAAGGTGAAATGAAAGTTTAAACTACAGTCGGATTCGAACCAGCCACCACCGAGTTTCCGGCCCGGTGGCCACTGGTTCGAATCCGGCCGGTGTCCAAATTTTCATTTCACCCTCAATCATCCCCCAGTATAAAATTAATTATAAGTAAAGAGGTTATATGTTGAGTTTTTCTAATTGTTCAACATTTAGGCTAAAACCATTTTTGCACGTCTTATATTTTATCTCTTAAGAAGTTCTTCGCACAGATGGTAAACTTATTCTTTTTTTGAATAAATAATCTTATTTACAAGATTACAGAAACACAAGAACAGTTCACACAATTCACAGTACACAGTTCACATCCACATGCCAGCCATTCACAGTTACTGACCGAATAACTTAAGCCAAAAATGAACAAGATAAGACCAGAGATTCTAATCAAGACAATAACCGGGGAAATTTGCTAACAAATCATAACAGATTTGCATATCTTGTATTCTAGTCTGCAATTTTGTGAACGGAAACCCTATTTATACCGCTGGGATCGTTTCGAAATCAAAATCAAATTGTAGCGTATTTTTTTTTAATTAATTTACTGCTGTAAAGGTTATAAGAATACAAAAAAATGGAGTGCTTAATTGATTGGAGATGGAGAAAACATTATCTTTTTGAAGGTTAAGTTTCATCAGAAACTAATTCATACTCATCTTTCTAAGAGGCGGTTGAATATCATCATATTTTAATTTAGAAACTTTGTCATTTGAAATAAATTTATTTAGTAATAAACGGACAAATTAATTTACAGGACGAAAAATCCCGATTCAGTCATGAAGAAAAGAAGCAATATTTCAGCGAAGAAAATTTTCTTTTCAGATGATATCATTTTCTAAAGATGTACAATGGTCTTTATACGTATCACACACACATAACAGTCTATTATTAAACAATATGACTTCCTTCAGAGGTCGATTTATACGAAATCAACACAGAATGGAAAATACTTGAATTTCTATAACTTGATACCTCTCATCAGAAAAACAGTCTGACTCATTTATCACCTTTAAGAATCAGAATAAACTGCATAAGTGATACTATCGACGATGAGTTGGACAGGCTACGAAAAATTCTCATACAAAACAGATACCCGTCCAGATTTATTGAGAAAAACTTGAAATTAAAACACAATATGAAACAAGTACCCACAGCTCCAAAAATTATACTTTGTTTATGAATAGTTATTTCAAAGGTGATATGGCAGCAGAAATGCTGAAGAATTAGCTATCCGAATCACTGAGGTGGATATCCTTCTTTGCAAAGCTACAGATCAGCTTCTATAGTCAGCGGTTTGTTCCGAAGTGTATTAAAGACAAGTCACTGCTTTGAATCACCTCAGTGTATGTCTAAAAATATACTTGCTCTTGTGGAGTTTATTTTATGGACTGAAAAAAGCGTGCACCCTGCAAACTTATCTCTGAGCACTATCCTAAATGGTTGTCGAAGGTAGAATGTGAACCAATCGATAATGCAACTATTGAATGTTCGGTCAACTCTGGATTTACAGCTCCTTCTTCAATGTCATTTACAGCGTCAAAAAGAATACATTTTCGATAATTGTGCACAGTAGAGGTACTAGTGATTCATGAAGTCAAGCTTTATGTCTGCGTCATGAAGAAGCATGTTTAATCTCTTATTTTACCAAGGTCTTAACACTGGCAATTTTTCGATTTCATTATCAACTTCATTATAACCCTTGTTTCTTTCCTCATCTTCTCTATAACTAATGAGTGAACACTCAGTATTCATGAAACATGTAAAGAAAAATAGTAGCTTCTTGATTTCCGAATAAAAACGAATCACAGTATTCACTAAAAACTTAAATGTTACTACACTGTTTCACCAGACTGTAACAAAGATCAATATCAAAATCTCTGACAATAAGTACTGTGAGACAAGGCAGTTAAAAGAAGAAGACATGAAGCGATTACAGGATTTCCATCACACGTGTCTTCAGAGCATTGTTCGCGTCTGGTGGAATCATCATGTGAGCAATGTTGAAGTCAAGTGAAGGATAATAGGTAAGACAGGTTAGCGAGTCTAGTCTATTGATGAGGTTGTGAATTTTCATCGATTGAGATAGCTTGGACATGCACCACGCATGCCGAGCCACCGCCTACCTCAACGTGCTATACTAGGGAAAGTTGGATTAGGTTGGAAGGGGGTTCCGCGGTGGTCAAACTAAGACGTAGCATCAGTCCATGAAGTCTGAGTCGTGTTGGGAGATGTAGACTATCTGGCTGAAATCCATGAGACAATAGGAATCAACGGCTGATATAGCTGAAAACAGGTCACAACGACATACTCTAAAGTTTGAATATTCACACTAACCTCTATCTTCAGATTGTTTATTCTCTCCTGTTCTTTGTAGACTACTGTAAAGTGTGGCAACTTCACCTGATGCATCTGTGTGCGAGGTTCTACGTCGATTTTGTATGTATCTGTGTCTCTATCTGTCTGAATATAAAGGAATAATAATTATGCTGTTCATTGAGGTAATATGTGTAGTAAGCAGTTAAATTATTTCAAAAATGGTCTGAAGTGAGTATTAGATTTTTGAAATATCACTGACTGAAAATTATTAAGTGGATGAAAAGAACCCACAACTAAAGATATAATAATGGTAAATAATAAAAAAAATAGTAAAGAGAGGGTTGTTGAACTTAGTTTACTTAGCAACGCGATATTCGGTATGACAAAGGAGAATCATTTCTTAACATTAAGAAGATAGGAAGGAAAACAGAGATTAACTGGATTTAAACTATGCTAAAAAAAGAAAAATGAAGAAGAACTAGAACATGAATAAAACAGTGTATAGTTTATGGAAGAAATAGAGGGAGTGATGGATGAATAAATCCCTTTAAATGTGAAATCCTGGTTAGTGCTATATAATTACCAAACCTGTAACTATGTAAAGAAGATGTAGACATGTACTAACAGTAGTGTTTCTGGAGCACGTTGCACCACGGAGAAGACTATATTGTTCTATCTAGTTTACTCTAATAGGAGCACCAATCTATGTAACTTCACCGTTTCCAATATAAACTTGCAAGTGTTGTGGTATCTGAAGGAGGACGTATTTATTTCTGACTTTCAGAGTAACTTGATTCATAGGAAAAGTTAAGGTGAAATAAATGGGACGATGACCAAAGACTGATCAAGTTTTCGCCCAATCTCGCATTGAAAGTTAAATAACAACTTAATGCCATGCAAAGATGTCTTATTCACTGCTCTGATTAAGTGCTATGAAGGCTTGTGTAACCTTCTTTGGATCGCTATTGCAAAAGAATAGCTTTCTTCTCCGTCATCATAATTTCCTGTTTATGACTATTGTAAGAAGCGAAAGTGAAGCTCCTTGGTGTAGGCACTTGACATTTAACCGGTCGGTTATAGATTCTAGTACCGCTGCACCCAACGAGATTTTGAAAGCCAAGAAGTATTATACATTTGGTATGGTTGATTGCTTAGTGTATGGGCATATATATGGTCGCTGTGAAGGATTACTCTAATTTTTCCAAAATATTTGTCTTGCAAGGCATTTAATTATATCGAATATATACTTCATTGGCACGATTCAATCACATATAAGAAGGTTGGGAATAGACATATAGCAATGGGATTATGAAATTTTTGGTAATCCACAAATCTGAGACTATAACCAATGAATTAGAACTCAGGAAGGAAATGAGTACAGGTAGTGTAAAATTTCAAAATTAAATACCATAAAACGAATTTCCGGTAAATTCAGTAAAAAAACTTTCAAGACTATTCTAGTAGCATCCTTGATATATTAAAACTTGGAAGTACTGTTCATTGGAAATAGAGTTAAAGACATTCATGAGCACATCGACTAAATCCATATACATTAACATTGTTTTCAAGCTGTACAATAGTATATATATGATATTTGGAAAAAATTATATCCCGTGAGGAAAACTAAACACTATATATATATATATATATATATATATATATATATATATATATATATATATATATATATATATATATATATATATATATATATATATATAAACACTATTACGCCTGCATCGCCGCAAGAATTTCAGCATTTCAAGTCCACTGTTCTGGATTGCTGTCACCAATTTACCAACTCCAAAATCAGTTCTAGCTCTTTATTAACTAAGGACCATATACAACAGCTAAAACTAATCAAAGATAACAGGGATATTATCATAAGCCGTCCTGATAAGGGAGGAGGCATTGTCCTAATGAATCGTCAGGAGTATATTGATAAACTTTCCGTAATCCTCTCTGATCCCACTAAGTTTACTAAACCCGAAGGTGAGCCCAATAAGACACATATAATTGAAACACAACTCACAAATGTCTTAAAAAGCATGAGGGATAAATCAATAATTGATCCTGATTTATATGAACGTATCCGACCGGTTGGCTCTATAATCCCACGTCTATATGGACTACCGAAGATACATAAAGCGGGATTACCTCTTCGTCCGATCCTCGATATGGCTGGTTCTCCTATCACCGAACTGCTCAATGGTTAGCTGAAATTCTGGAACCTGTTAGAAGGCAAGTATCGAGTTTTTCTATCCGTGATACATTTCAGTTTGTTGAGGGTATTAAGGATTTTAATGCTCTAAACAAGATGATGTTTTCATTAGACGTCACTTCATTGTTCACGAGTGTGCCACTCACCGAAACTGTCTGTTATGTATGTGACTATATTGATGCACATAATTTAGACGTAGGACTACCAACGAGCTGCTTGAAAGAGCTTTTGTTGAGGTGCACATTTAATGTCCAATTCAGTTTCAATAATGAAATCTATAGACAGAAAGATGGAATTGCGATGGGGTCACCATTGGGACCACTGCTAGCAGATTTCTTCATGTCGAAACTAGAAAATTCACAACTTCGTCAAACTATTGATAGCTTTGACTTTTATAGAAGATATATGGACGACACGTTTGTTATTTGCGACAAAAATGTAGACCTCGACGATGTGCTTCGTTCATTCAATGAATGTCATCAAGCCCTCAAGTTTACTATAGAGAAGGAATCAGAATCAACTATTCCTTTTCTTGATGTGCTTCTCACCCGACGTCAGAATGGATACCTTAAAAGATCCATCTACAGAAAACCAACGTGGAACGGACAACTAACTAATTTTTATAGTTGGGTGCCCATCAACAGAAAAAGAAATCTTATTCACTCTCTTTGCTATCGAATAAAAAATATCTGTAGTGACGATTGTATCGATGAAGAGCTATCTTTTTAAAAAGCATACTTGTCGAAAACGGTTACCCTAGCCGTTTTATTGATAAAAATATGCGGGAAAGAAACACTAAACCAGTCATCCACTCGGTCTCAAAGAAAAGATTGTTATGAGCCTAGAGTTTAAAGGAGACCTAGCATCGGATGTACTGAAGAATCGTCTTACCAGATCAATCAATAGGACTTTCTTCGCAGCAAGACTTCAGTTGACTTTTACCAGCCGCAACCTATTCTCCACCTGCGTTAAAGACAAGCTTCCTCGTTTGGCCGCCTCTATGTGCATCTACCAGTTCACCTGCTCTTGTGGAGCAAGGTACATCGGCCGTAGCCAGAGAATGCTTTCTACACGTATACGAGAACATGTTCCTGCTTGGTTTTATAAAGGTGAAAGAAAGTCTGTTAGAAGTTCGATTCTAGAACATTTGATTGACTTCCATCACACAACAAATCCAGACGATGACTTTGAAATTATTTATCAAATTCGCCCAAACCTCCCACGTTCTCTTCGTTTTCAACTCCTTAAAACAGCGGAGGCTTTAGCTATTCATGAACTAAGACCTGATCTGTGTGTACAAAAGAAGTATGTGCAGTCACTGTCTTTATCATGGCCATAACATTTTCCCACCCCATTAGCTCCCCCTCCCACTTTGTTAATTTAACCTTTGTATCCTTCCTTTATCACTATTATTGTTATTATAATCGCCTTCACTTCAACTAGTTTCCGGTGTTGTTTCACTTAATTGTCTTAATCCTTTTAGAAAACATTGACTTCATCTTGTCCAATTTGTCTAATGCCATTACATAATACTTAATTGATTTACCATTTTCAACAATTTTTTCACCCCCTTCTGAGTTATATACTCTCTATGTACCATTCCATATATTACATAATCTATTTGTTATCATTCGCACTTCAATTGTTATTATAATCATAAATGCCTATGTCATCACCCGCTCTATTATTATTGTCATCACCATATAGTGTTTAGTTTTCCTCACAGGATATAATTTTTTCCAAATACCATATATATACGATTGTACAGCTTGAAAATAAATTCGTTGAAAAGAGTCTCTTCGCTGAATATCTTGTTCTTGATGTTACAATGGGAATTGTTAAATTACTTACATTGTTGACATTTTTTTTTCGAGAAAGCTGATTTAGTGGCTATCAGTTGATTACATCTCAACAAATAAGGTACTTTTATCTGTTTAAGAACAATGAGCATATTCTAAAAGTATAGAAGGATTGGAGGATCTTATTCAGCCTTCTAACCAATCAGTATCTTACAGGCATGGAAAATCATATCTGAATACAGATTTTCCAGTAAGATATTGAGAAAACATCATATAAAGTATTTCAAACAGATCTTCTTTATTATAGAGTTACAATAAATAAATTTGTTACAAACAATAAACCGCTTTTTGCACTCAAAACACCTAAACACATTGTGATAAACTGATAATAGCTTAAAGTTTCGTCTAATCAATTATAACTCACGATAATCTTGTTCAATACATCGTTGTGATAAAGTTGTCATTAGGTTTGAAGGTGAATTACACAAACTACTATAACGATCTAATTCAGCTCTGTGTTTCTCATTAAATCCCAAACCTTCACGATGTGCACAGGCTTTAGGACAAAATTGATGTATATCATATTGACTGATTAAAGGATCTTTCCTTTTAGTGGAATGGTTATTACTAATATTATTATCAGCAGAATTAGCTATCTGAATGATGTTATAACTAACATTAGTGTTATCCAAACGTTTAGTAAATTCCAATCGTGCTGTACAATAATACATCATATATTGTAATCTTGCATTTGATAGTTCCAATATTAAATAGTTATAGAACTTTTTGTTTTTTTCATCTGCTTTCAATTTTAATTTATGTATTTTAATCAAACTATCATAATATTTGTAATGGAAATCTTTTATTCTATTCTCATCATAATTTCTTAATTTCTTGTATTCATCAATTGATTCATGATATAAAAATGTTAACTGACTCTTTCTACTACTTTCTGGTGGTATTATGATAGCACTATGTTCACTTCCTAATGTACCCGGTGAATAACCAGCTCTCATAGGATATTGATATTGTACTGCTACACCATGTGGAACTTTTAAATAAATATGTTGGTCGATTTCATCAACAGATTCTTCAGTGGATAGAGTGATACACAATAAATATCCAATAAATATTATTACATTAGATAGCTAAAAGTAAATTAAAGTGCGTATTATAAACAGAAAACAACATATATTAGTTAGATATTTTGATTTACACAGTAAAAATTGGTATACACCCTGACATTGTGCCAGGAATTTACAACGAGATTAGTGGTGATGTCACGAATGTGTATGCTGTGACCGGTAGTTTGACCTAACAGCTCACGAGCCGTACAAGCCTAGAAGATTACAAACGATGTGCACCTAACGTACAAACGAATCAGAACGTCAACCACAACAACAATACCAGCGACTCGTGAGAAGACAAGCCGTTGACAGAGAGCCTATTATTGGCTCAACAACAGTCAACACAGTTGACAGCGATGCTGAATCTATATATTTCCAAATGACCTTGACAACACTAACCTCACATATAGGTGAAAATAGTTACCAACTAATGAGAGTTCAGCCTTGAGAGCAAAGGGAAGGAAAACGCATGACAGTGTGAAGACAGCCAGGCAGGTTTTTGTAGTCATTGGCAAAACAGCAGACAAAAGCTATGCAAAATTAGGGATGCATAGCAGTGTGTTTCTCAGCTTTTCGGTGTTTATGAACATGACTGTAACCAAGTATTTGTTATTTCATCTTTGTCATTGATTTAGTTATTGCGACACAATGAGTATATTTCCCAACTTATATACTCAAAACTCATTTATAAAAATGAGCATGTTAGCTTCATTAAATTTATACTCGTTTAAATCTCCATAGCTGGTAGTGGGATCATAATGTACGGGAGTGATAACATATTAGCACTCACTTCATTTACTCGTATGGCTGAATTCTTCAAAAAGAATCTCTCCACAGAGCTACTGGTTTTCATTTTCCTGAAGTCTCTGATTGTTCTCTGACATCCTTGTTAGGTTGCCTACGATTAAAGGGTTTGTAAACTTCTTATATATTTTGCTAAGTACAGATAATAGTTTGCTTTATATGACAGTGGTTTGGTTTTCTGTGATCTTTAATATTTTGTTGTAAACATTTCGTCACTAGACATAGTGACGTCTTCAGCACTAACATTCAACTTATCAAAAGAATTATACAGAAAACTAAAACAGCTCGTCAGTGGAATGTAACACTCAGTCAGGCCAGTAACTGAATTTCTAGACAAAATAAAAGATTTATAGATAAGCAGTGATGAAAAGATGATATTTTGTGATATGACTTCACTTCAGTCAACTCAATTTTAACCGAGGAGAAAATGGGTATTCTGTTGAAGAACGACTGAATGCTTTCTGACTATACGAAGATTACGGTCCCAAACTTAGTGGAAGTGATCGAGCTATGTCTCACAACCTATTTGCAATTAGGTTGAAAGATTTACAAACAAACTAAAGGTACGCCTATAGGGTCACCCATATCAGGATTGATTGCTGTAGCTGTGATGCAGCTACTGCAATCAATAGTCATCCCTCTCATCAAGCCAAAAATTTGGATTTGGTACGCCAACAACATATTCGTAATTCTCAAGGAAGATGAAATAAAAAACATGTTCAAACTAACCAACCAAACATTTGAAGGAATTGCCCTTGCAAAGGAAGAGGAATTCAATGAAAAATTTCATCCTTACATGTTCTCATCAGTAGAATACACGACGGGATTTTACAAACTCAGGCGTACAGGAAAACCACACACACAAATCAAATACTGAACTACAACAATAATCATCCTGCAGTCCACAAGAAGTTTGGTGTACGAACATTAATCTCAAAGGAAAAAACACATTGCAGAACTGAAGCACTACGAGAAGCCGGAGAAAAATACATGAACAAAGTGTTCAAAGCCAATGATTATCCACCCAGCTATATCAAAAAAGTGTTTATCAGTAGGACAAAAGACAGGGGAAATGCCTCATATCAATAGGCACCTTACACTACCGTAGATTGAAGAAATCTCAGAAATAGTCAACCTTTTGCCTCATCCTTTCGGGATCAGAGTAGCACACAAATCAACGGAATCACTACACAACATGTTGCGCAAGCCGAAGGACTCATTACCAAAAGAAAATAGAACAAATATGATCTGGAAAATTAGTTGCGAAAACTATTCACAGGATTATGCTGGCCGGTCTAGCCGTCGGATTGCTTAAAGGATTTATGAATACCAACTAGCAGTAAAGCGACATGACACAATCTCTTTGGTTTTAATGCATGCAGACAATCACGACCGAAAATTCGACTGGGGAAAATGTGTAGATCCTCCGAAGAGGAGGTTCCAAAGCTTCAAGAGAATTTCTATAAGCGTGGCACTCAAACGAAATGTCAATAAACAGGTGTTTGGATATAAACTCAGTCTACAATCTACTTCAGAAGAAAACAGTCATTTATCAACCAAGAGCAAATGGACCGGACAAATGAGTAATAATGCACAATGTGACAACAATGAACAGTACGACTTCACTCTAACAGAGAATATTTAATGACGTGACTAAAAAAATTTAAGGTGAAAGAGGTTAGGGTGTGACAAAAAACTTCTTCCCCAGCTGACAGCTGGACAATATCCAAGGTCAACTGAAACATTATCTAAACGTTTGTGTAATATTCGACTATACTTTACTTCTTTATGAAGTTAGTCCTGAAGCATGGTGATGGAACGTTTATGACAAAAATATCAAAGCTGAGAGAACACCAAACTACCATAATTTTCATCCTGAGCTAAAAATGTTTGCCATCATTTCAAAAATTTGTTTTGTGTACGGACTAGCCATATTAATTCGTCTTCTCACTGGTGTGACGTTAGTGGTCGTAGGATAAACAACAATATAAGAACTGGGGGGAGAATAACAGCCAAGACATGAGGTTGGGCATGTTCCTCAGCTCAGCAAGCCAGAGATATAACAGTGTGACAGAGCTTACTCAAAGATATAACACAGTTCTATAATAAAATGTACCTTACCTTTAATATATCCATTACTGTTATATACATGTATAATGTATAGTTTTAAATTTACTTAGCTTCCGATAAATGATCGATCAACATAATTCACTTCTCACTGCATAAGGCTAACTTGTTCACATTACTTCGCTATTCATTATCTTTGGTACAAGGTGAAGAATAAGACTACACGTAGGATGAATAGTTCTTATCTTGTTGCTTTGTCATCAGTCACAATAAAGTTTACAAAATAAATGATAGTTGATAGGTCTAATTTGTCATTGTTTATTTTATTGAACCGAAAAGCTTGGTCTGTGCTAGGATACTGGATCCTTCATAGGAGTCCAAAATATTGCTCTAGTTTTCATCATCATGTTATTTGCTCGACAGTGGCTATCAGCAAACAACATTATCGACAACTAACAACAAAAGTAAACATGCATTTTTTTTTCTTGTTTTTCAGGTGACTTTTAATGTTTTGAAGATAAAGCTACTGTAAAGCGGGAAAGCAGCAGGACCAAATGGAATCCCGCCAGAAGCACTGAGAGCGGAGAGACTAAAGGATGCGCTGGATTAAAAAATACGACCGGAACAGAGAGGCTTCAGGAAGTACAAATCATGTGCGGATCAAATTGCAACGCTACGTTAAGCGTCATCAGAGAACACATTATAGAATGGCAGTCAATCCTCTACCTCAACTTCATCGACTTTGAGAAGGCCTAAGCATCGACCGAGACGTAATTTTTCAGCTGCTTCAACAATACGGAGTAACACAAACTTTTATCAACCTCATTCAGCAACCATATAAAGAAGCCACATGCCAAGTAATTCACAATGGGAAGTTCAGTATTGCTTCTGAAGTAAAGACAGGAGAAAACAAGGCTGTCTACTATCACCCGTGATATTCCTGATTGTAGTGGACTGGATCATGTAACAAACTGTGAGGAGCGAGAAGAGGGGGATACGCTGTTTGACCGTGGAGATTTGTTGCATGATCTAGTTCACTACAATCAGGAATATCATGAGTGATAGTAGACACTTCATACTGTCATATATCTAAACCACTTTTTCAAGCCGAAGCGAATGGTTTACTAGTTTGATTGCTCAATACTTTGAGAGAAGGCAATAAAAAATGGTTCTGTCGCAATGAACTGATATCGGTTCAAATAATTTGATCCGGCCCACAGTTAATTAATGCCTATGTCTAGCTTTAGTGATCTATTTACCTGAAATATGTCTGAGTTTTCATAGATTCATATCAAAGCAAACTGACAAGCTGATTGTATTTATTCGCTTTCTTTTATATCTGTCAGCGACGCTGATCTCGATAAGGTAAACCTCTACGGATCAAACTTTTTGACCAAAAGATAGGTAGCTATCTTGCATGCTGTTTTTCCTAGTTATTTGGCAAAATGCAATCAACACAACAGAGTAATTGGAAAGTGAAAGTCATCTTTGGCAAAGATGTTCAAACTGCAAAAGATCCAGTGCAAAAAAGGAAGGATTTTTCTCAAACACTTTAAGCAGCATTGTTTACAGTGGAAAATATGTCTCCTGCTTTCACTGACACGTTGAGAAATACATCACACCGTTAAATAGATTCACATTTACCAGTATATCAAACAACCAAGTACTTCATTCCCTATCATCGAAATAGTACATAGGTATCGTTCACTTTACTCGCTTAAATGGCGTTACAAAAACTAACCAAGACATTTCGCAGTTTCAGATCAATCACTTTCCCTGCGAAAAGCATAACAAATGCTTTAAAAATCCCAACTATCTCATAAAACATTGAGTAAAGAACGATTCGTTTCAGAGATATCATTTTCACGCTGTAAAATCACATACGAATATTGCATTTGCTTGGTAAAAAATCAAATATTTCACATTATGGTATGGTATATTCATACAACTTTGGTTACAGGAAAGCTTCTTTTTAGTTCTCACTTGATTCCTGTACCTATTCTCTCGGATACTGCATCCTACTTGAATGCAAAGAGGATAAAAACCTTCTCAAAAGTTGATTGCCTAATTCTTTCTAAGTGTCATATATTTATTTCCTATGACTAATCTGAACAGTGCAAGAACGAAGACATTTGCAGCAGCATAAAATGAACTCGTTTTATTTTATCACCTATCATCAGCTCTAAACAGTGTTGGTAGTAATAGTGACATGACATACTCTAATTATGTACAAATAAATTGAGATTTGAAATCCAGGATCGACAATAAGTTGATAGATCAAGGAAACGCAGAATTAATAGTTACAAATCTTAGTCAAAATCAATGGCAATTTAGATCTCATGAAACATAAAATTCTGGAGCTGTGGAGTGGGGGAGCTGACAACAACGAAAATCAATGTAAAAGAAGGGACTGTTTAAGAGCCAATAGCTTACGTTATCTGGGGAAAAACTGGAAAATCTTCTGATGATCAACTGTCGGTAAGTAATTAATCAAGAGATAAGGCAATCAAAAGACTATATACAAACATATGCAAAAATTATAAATAATTACCAAAAGAAAGATTAATCAGTCTCTTTCGGAACATATACGTTAGGTCTAAAATGCTTAATTGTAAGAGCTTCTCTGCATACCGTAGCAAGTATGGCGTTCTTTATTTGTTGTTTATACCGGTAAATTGAGAAACACCTATTTGATGTCCTGCTTCCATCAGATGCCTGGCGACTGCACTGTTAAGGATCTTGTTGCCTTTCAGAAACAGATTTCTTGGAATATGCTCATAAGATCGAGTAGACGCCTTTCTTTCAGTCGTTCTTATCCACTTGTTTCTACAAGCAAAGGTGAGTTGATATGCACAATTGAAGATGACGTGAGATGGGTATTGGTCTACTTTCGACTGTGCTATTGAGCATACTGTATTGTAAACTGAGATCAGTCGGGAAACAGAGAAGCTCCTTCTCAATGCAGCTTTTATTCTTTTGTCTATCCTTTTAGATGCTTTATCACCTCTGAATGCTGGGGGAAGGAAAATAGGTTTCTTCCGAACACATGTATGTTTGAGTCTCCTAGTAAACTCTTTTCCATGCTTCATGATTTCCTCGGATATTCATTCTCTATAAGAGCCTTATCAATTACCCTGAATTCTTTCCCCTATTTTTCTCTTATTCTAGTGAAGAGTCTCCTGACTAAAACACGCTTATTACTGATAGGACGGAAACTATTGTGGTAAATGCACTGTCCAGTCCACGTGTCTTTCCGGTCTCTGCCACTTCACTGACTTGAGAAGTTCCATCAGCCCGAGTTGGTTGCTGATGAAGGCATGTTTGGCAGTTGCCAACTTGCATCATATTTGGCACCAGTGTGCAAGTTATCAAACTATCAATCAAAATACGAGGATAATGAGCTGCAGTCCGTTCTGTCCTATTTTACGGTTGAGATATGGGCGTTAGAAGTGAAAGACAAGAAGATCACTGGGTTTTGATCACAGATGTCTTCATAGCATGGTTCGCGTTTGGTGGAATTGCCACGTGAGCAATGTTGAAGTCAAGCGAAGGGTACCAGGCAAGTCTATTGATGAGGTTGTGAGCCTTAATCGACTAAGGTGGTTTGGACATGCACTGAGCATGCCGAGCCACTGCCTACCTAAACGTGCTATACTAGGGAAAGTTGGATTAGGTTGGAAGGTGGTTTCATGGTGGTCAGACTAAGACGTGGCACCAGTTCATGAGGTCTCTGTCTGCTGATTTGAGTGGTATGGGGATATGCAAACTGCTGGGTTGGGGACCCCAAGACAAAGAATCTTTGGTTGAGGACTCTTGGTGACATAGCTGAAAACCGATCTGAAACACAGATGCATTCACTGCTTGACATCTTCCAAAGCTTGAACATTCGTACTAACCTCTATCTTCGAACTGCTTGTTCCCTCACATAACTTTGTCTACTTAGATGTCGTCCCTTTCTGATCCACCTTTTTCTCTTGTACTACTGCAAAAGGTGGCAACTTGAGACGATGCTCTTATGTGCAAGGTTCTATGTTGATTTTGTCCGTCTGTCTGATATCTCCATCTTATACTCGGATCTAGAAAACTTGAATATATTCTCACTTTCGTATTTCACTGTAAAATTCATATTTGAATGAGCTTAGCTGAAGGCATCGAACAACTTTGACGCATGATTCATATTATCACAAACGATGAAAGTACCATTGATATAACTGATCGCAGAGTTCAGACATGCTCGTTCGAGATGAGCCATAAAAATATCAGCTACGATAGGTCGTAGTGGTTAACCCAAATTATATCATTAAAAATACTGACTTTTCATTGAAAGATTCTTTGTTAAAGTAGAGTTATGACGACTGCCTCACTATACATTAAAGCTTTCGTTTTGTCCTAGCTCACAGTAGATATGCAATTCACCGAAACCTTGTACTCTCCAAAATGGTAGTAAAAGTACTCAAAGAATGATTTCAGTTTAGTCTGTCGTGTAATATAATTAAGGAAATTCGTTCAATCTATTTTATTATAATTTTATTTTTTAACTTTTTAGGACTAAAATTATTCAAAGATGACTCTTCCTCGTGTTCAGCTTATTTTATTCATCTCCCAACTCTCACGTTATTACTTACTGATAACACGTAACCATTTGCCCTAATCTTTCGCTTTTTGTGTCACGTGTTGAGCGAGATGTTAGATAACAATGTTTCTCTTTTTTTCGCATTCGTATAAATTCTGTGCAATTATCCTATTCACCATTTATCACCCTTATTCCTTGAATTGAGTAACTTTACGTCAGTAATTATTTCAACCAATTTAGCCATCACTACTAAAATGCTCTTCGATTTGTAGTATTACTGCAAACATATATATATATATAAATATATAATATATTTCAGTGTGACAGGTAACCGTTGTTTAGCAGATGCGTATTATTGATAATGCGTGGTGACTGAAGGTGAAATAAAAATCTGGACCATACCAGGACTCGAACCAGCGGTCTCCGGCTCCGTGTTCTACCAAGTGAGCTGAGACACATGGAGAGTTAGAGAACCTAGACGACCCCAGTTCGAATCTTGCTGAGACCAGGATTTCCATTTCACCCTTAATCATCATCCGATATACGACATTGTAGACTGGATGATAAGCATCTAGTTGCAAAAATATTACTTGGTTCGGTCTGTATTTTATTTTCAATACCTAAATGAGAATTTACAGTGCTTATTACTTGTTTGCTATTAAAATATACGTCTAGTGGATACTAAATACCTTAAACTGTAGCTGAAGTACGCACTGAACAGCTGAACTCATTTTACTTATAAACACGAACTCGCTACAAAGTGGTTACCGAGATTGTTTCATACAACACTATGAAGTGAGGAAAGCAAAAACAAACCGAACAAATTGTCGATTTGATCAGATACATTCAAAAAGCTCTTACTCTATGTGTATTACTTTCCATAGATAAATTAAAAAAGAAAACTACAGCGTGACCGCCTCTGGCTTCCATTTTCAACCATATGTGATATCGCTTCAAGCCACTTAGTTTCAAGAACTCTTCCACATCAACTAGGGATTTGTAAGATGCCAAAAACTGGTTGAACAAATACAACTACTCTTAATCCCACGGTTTCACATCACAGGCTGACTAACTTTTCCTTTCTTCCAATATATATCCAAGGGTTGGTAAATATTGAAAGATTCGGAATGAAATTCATGACATGACCAACGGAAGAAGTTGGTATTTCAAGCTGAACTCCTTCACACTCGAAGACGCATCGCCTGACGTGGGGATTAATTACTAAGTGATTCTACAGAGTGTGGACAATTCTTCAGACGTAATAATGATTGGCGATAAACCTGAGACATGCAAAGAGGATGCTCCCCATCGATACGCTACACATCTAGCGTTTTACAGTCAGACTAACGTCACGATTGTGGCAAAAATAATCCAAATCGGCGTATGTCACTCTGATCTTTAATATATGGCTGGAAGTTTCATCCATCCCACCTTCGCCGTCACTCACATAACATTACAAACATGCAAACCTTTCGACAACTTGCAGCCGTTCATCTCTGAGAATGACTGTAGATGAAGGCTTTCATTAATTTAGGTAAAACACTTTCTGATGCAAAGCATTGATCAAAAACGGATTACATACGATCGAAGTAGGTTGGATGTCACACAGTAAAACAAAATCATTCACATACTCAAGGGGTCGCTTATGTCAATGTCACTGTCTCCAATTTTGTTTAACTTATACACATGCTTATTGAGGCCTTGCTCCGATAAACTTAACGGAGAATAACCTTGTCAAAGCAGGATCTTTAGTAAATCTAGAGTATATGGACTAAAGTATTGCCAGATTAGGGTGCTGACAAGATGCAGAATTTGATAAACATATTTAGCGACAAGTTGAGGACCTTCAGGATAGGTTTCTCACTAGGCAAAGGCAAATCATTGCTTCATGATCAGTCTGTATTCATGCATCGTCTGGCAATATGCAGTAAAATGGTTGAATGTGCTAACCACGTAATTTACTTAGGATGTCAGATCAATCTAGGTGAGTCCATTACTGATGAAATCTCTCGTTAGACACAGAAGACTAGATTGGATTTAGCTATGTATGCTATTTGTGCCAACACTACACTCGACTTCCTATCAAGACCAGAATCTACTGCACAGTGACTCGCTTTGCTCTACTATGTGGTTGTGAAATATGGCGATTACAGACCGAGGAAATTAAAAAGTTTCAGGTGTTCGACCACAGTTGTTTTCGCAGTATGGAAGATTTTTTGTTATCAATATATTCCTCGAGTACTTCCAAGTCCCTTGCAGCAAATAATTGAATTTAGTGTTTCATAATGGAGTCTGAATACTCAGTGAAAGGATACTAATACTTGTTTTCCTAAATAATATAAAGGTGATATTTCATCGAATACAAAGGATATCACTACACTACGCTAATGAAGTATATCCCTAACCTACCCATAAGTTAGAAATCGGGAAAAGGATTAGCGATCTTCGTCAGTGTAACCGCTAACTTTCGATTACCCTTCAGCGAACAGTCAAGTTTTGGAAGTGGAAAGAGTTCCAAACAACATAATTTAATTATAAATTTCTGGCGCTCAAATCTTAATGAGAAAACCGTTTTATTGTTCAGTTTTTATGGCATAAAACAAACATACCTACTCGGAACAACAAGAAAGTATATATATATATATATATATATATATATATATATATATATATATATATATATATATATATATATAATTATCAAATTAGTTTATTTCAAAAGGATAAAAACGGCAAATGCATCATTTTTTGAAGAGAATGATATTTATCGAGTCTTTTCTATTAATTGTGTGATCAAATTTGTCATTCGAGAAGCAAGTCCTCGAACATCATCTTGAAGGCCTGCTTGTGCCATAGCCAAATCGTATAAATGATCCAAAATACATACAGCTAGAGCGATCTCTCCACTCTGCTCAGCACTCTTAGAATCATGAACTAACTTATAAAGATATCGAACAAGTTCATGTTCAGGATTAAGTTCCAAGATTGGTTCAATAACATGATATCTTTCTTCAGCTGGTCTATCAGCCAATGTTGTTCGCAGAAAATGACGCATAGCTCCTGCTTCACGAACACTAACAAAGCAAGGATGAGTACTTAATCTCCGAGTAACCTAAATAATAAAGAAACAAAAAATTGTATTTCTTGAAAAGTCTATAATTAAAATAATGCTACATATAAAATAGTCATCTGATTCAAACTACATAAAAATACAGAAAAAAAAATGGATATGTCACATAAACATGAAAACAGTTCAGTCAGATTTAGCGTTATGAACAAAGAGAAAAGTAAAGTAAGTTATGGCAACACAAGAAATTAAGTATTAAAAAAAACTGTATATTAAAATCAAAAATAAATAATAAGTGATGATGAATGAAAAACCGGAGTGACTTTAAAGGCCATCCCCTACCAACGACTAAAATAACCAATTACTATTCTTCATTTCGCCTAAAAAATCAGATTTTAAGTAAATAACGAAGTCTAACTGGTTTTTTGAATTGTTGCTATGGTGGTCTCTAAAGTCACCCTATTCACGTCATACATTTCGAATAATCTGATCACACATTTACTCGTTAAGGCATTTGATATAATATTCGGAAGTGGGTAGAAGTAAAAATATGACATAAAATAATTTAGCAGTAAAAAAGCTAATGTAGGGAGAATGATATGATTTGAAGGCAACTTTGGGAATACGATAAGATAACTATTACCAAGGTGGGTTTAGCATAAGTACAAACTGTTTTTGAACACAATGGGGACTTAAATTTGTGTATAGCTAGCGCTTCAACAAACCTAAGTAAAATTGTAAAGGTTGCTTTAATATCAATTATGTGAACGTTATCAATAATATGTTTTGCAATGGATGATAATGGTTGTCTGTCACCTACGGTTATCAATTTTTGAGAATCCAGCTGCTTTTATCATCATTTTGGTACACATTCCGTCACTCTCAAGTGCATATCTTGATTAGACATCTCGATCCATGTGTGTCCACAAACACATGTAAATTGATAAACGCAGTGGGATGTGACCCAATCGTTTATACGGTGTTGAGGTCTGTCTTGCAACGTGTGACTGATTTTTTCAACTACGATAAGCTTATCTCCATAGTATATTTTGCTAATGACAGACCTCAGCCTTCGGTTTAGAATTACACTGTATGATTCCCGCTGAATGGTGGTGTGATATATACGCATTTCTTCAGAACACAATACCGAATAAGATTCAACGCTGGTTGATTTCTACCACGGATATTCATTTTCCCCAACTATTTCAGTTAGCATTTTGATGTCATCATCCATTCAGTCTTCCGTACAGATATGCTGGATCCTTTCGAAAAGGTAATATTACCAAACTTCACTTGTATTGAGTTGGACAAAAGCTATGGAAACTTAAATACTGACCCGTACAAGGAGGCTTCCTGTATTTTGACCGTTTTATTGAACCATTTGTCTTACGACTCAGTAGTATATCCAAGAACAGCAGACTGTTTTGTTTCTCTTCTTTAAGTGTTAAGTATATATTGTTTGGTACAGTGTTAAATCATTATAATGAACATGTCGCATCTTCATGCTTGTCACACAGTACAATTAGATCAATATACTAATAAATCACTTCATAATCTTATCTGTCTCCGTAACCTGTTATTCTTCGTATCTCACAAGATACTACTCAGTGTATCCATTCATTCTAAAACTTTCTCAATGACGTAGAATCTTTATACCAGTTTTTTTTACTACAAACAACACTAAGGTTCATTGAAACGTGTTTTGACCACACAAGACTTCAATCGAAACTTTTCGGAAGTAATACCTAGTACAATACCTTTCCTAAAGATAATCTCGTCAATCGAACACTTATTTTCATTTCTTTAGCTTAGACTTAGTTAAAATCATTCTCTTGTTTATCATCTATGGATATAGAAACAAACAACAAGTACAAGTTAGTATGATAAGCACAAATGAGTAGTTCAGAAGTAGGATAAAACACCGGCGATTCACATCGCCGTAAGAAACTACACTTAAAACATATCCTTATCAGACAGTGCTATTTTCGCACTCACCAAATGACGATCATAGCTTCTAAAAACTGTAAATAACAACTTGTAGAATGAGTAGAACTTGAACACTGTGGTAGACTGTAATTTTGAGCCTGTTTATCACAATTGTTACACATTAAAACAGTATTATTTACTGGATGATATTTCTGACATAAATTGTTGTCAATATTCATAACAAATGTTTTATAATTACTGTAGTTTGTGTAACCGGATACTAATACTGATAATCAACTAGCATGGAAAACAAAAAGTGGACACAAAAGTGAGTTACAGTGCGTTTCACTCTGAATGACATAATTGATACGTTTTAATTTTTTCACAGACACTGAAGTTTCTTGAGAATATATCCGTGTAACCTGAATGCTTGACAAGTCTAATCAACATTTGTTCTCCTGAACTAAAATGATTTTGTTGTCTTTTTCGAATATCTGAGATAGCCGTGGTTTGGCAGACTAATATTGTTACTGAGTGATGATTGAAGGTAAAAATGAATATCTGAACCGCGGCCGGATTCGAACCAGCGACCACCGGGTCCAAATGATAATCAATATGATGCTTCCGCTCTCTGACTCAGTTGGATTTAGATTGGGGTGAGAAGTCCTGACTGACTAGACAGTCAGTGTGAATACAACCAAGCGGTAGCAACGCATCAAGAATTTACATGGTAGTCGGGCAAAACCCATGGTGACTGAGGTGAAATAAAAATCTGGTCAGCAGTTGGACCTCATAGCTCAGTTGGTAGAGCATCGGACGGGTAACCCAGTGATCACTGGTTCCAATCCGGCAGCGGTCCAAATTCTCATTCCATCTTTAATCACTACCCAGTATATTTTGTCATCCCAACACTTGTCACTGTGTTGTAAAAAAAAAAAAGTAAACTGTCAGAGCTTCACTTCGCTTATTTACAACTCTAGTCCATCAGAAAACGTAAAATTCACCACTTTAAAATTAATGAACAGAACTATTCCCCTTTATTCACTCACTTTCACTTTTTTGACTTTGGGGCCAAGTACTTTCTCTGCCCACTCCACTAACTCAGTGGCTTCATCCTGTTTTAAACAATTTTCACGTTCAGGTCCAACAGAATCAGTATCTGTTAAATCATCAGCAATCATAGTTTCAACTGATGTAAGCGTCTTCTTATCATATTGATGTAACTGCATAAGAACAAGTTCATCGTATGCTTCATACAAAAACAGAACCTGGAATAAAACAGATACTTTCATGAAACTGGTTAACAAGGAAATGAGCTTCAAGGAAAATTATTAGTCAAACTTTGTCGACGGATGAGGCTAAAAGTTACCCACAGGTGTTATCGTGCTTATTATAGGATATAGCGTTCTGTACGTAAATTTGCGTACTTTCTGTCTACAGTTTCTAAAAAGCTGCCTGTCACTGAATCATGTTTCATGCTGATTATTCATATACAAAGTATTGGGTGTACTTCTACCTCCTCTAATTGGGATGTAAGTACATTTATTTATCAAGAACGACGCTTACAAATCGAATTAGTCACAAAAAAGATTTGTGATTATAGTTTTTACTTCAAAATATTTCCTTACAAAACACAGAAAATACGTATTTTTACACAGTACACTATAAAATCTGAGGATAACTTTTAGCCTCATTTCGAAACAGGAGTTGGAGAGAGAAAAAGAAAAGATAAGAGGAGGAGATGAGCCAACAAATTACGCACAAACGACAACAGTATGTTTATGGGCAAATTATGTTTAATCTGCAAAATACAAGTTACGACGTGAGAATCATCGTTGCACTTCTAAAACATCTCATGTATCATAACATTAGTAACAGAAATAACATCCACTCAAAGTTAACAAGACTTTGGAAATTATTGATGTTGTATATAACTTATTCTATGCTTTAGAAGTGTCTATTCAATATATCTAAAATGAGTGTAATTTATGTGAAAAAACGAAATCCATGATCAGGATAAATGAGTACAGTTGCTTTTGTGTATCACACAGCGGAACAATTAACTCAAAAGTGCACACAACATATATGAGCTAAGTACTCATCGACATATTATTTCTTAGGTAATTATTAGTGTCACCCTTTAATTATTTTTTTCAAAATCGATTACTCATTCTTCTAGCTAATCATTGTTGTATGCATGCATAATCAAACAAACAGATAATATGTCGAAGTTCTGGTTCACTTCATATAATTAACCTACTTACTGTCCTTTTTAGTCATTTCGTAATTGTCATGTCCTTAATATAATATTGATGACAGAACTCGAAGAACTGGGTAGAGACTATAGGAAACTTTTTTTCTAGTTGACTGGGAACGAACTAAAACCTTTGTACCATCCTGATAATTCCTCTTATAAGAATACCATGAATTTCAGAGCAAGCTACTAAATCACTCACGGAGAGAAATTGACAGCTCACTTCATACTGAAGTTAGTGCTGATGATGTCATCTAGCAAGGCGATGAAAGCTTCACGACTAAACAACCCAGCTCAGAGAACACAATACAACCAAGTTCATACAGATAATTTGTTTTGAAGACAGACTTGTCTGATTTGCTTTGTATAATGAAAGGGTATTACGATGGTTTCTTGATGGGTTGGAACTGTGGTCAATTGGTACAGGAACTTGGTTTCTAACCAATAGGTATGGGGTTCAGACCCAAGTTTATCTGCCGAGGTTTGTTAGCAGCCAGGTAGTATCAACAGGTGTGGCACATTACTTATTGTACAAATGCGCTCAAGGTAGCTGAGTGAATTTCTATTCCATTAGGTGCACTAGTTACCTAATAGTTGAATAATAATGTTCATGTACAAAATGCCTACGGAAATCAACTAACCAAAGTATTCAATAAAGTAACTTAGCGGGACAAGATGAGGTAAAGTTTCGTACTAAGTGTCCGCTGACGTGTCTTACACGTCCACTCATAAGTACTAGCATGGTATATTGCAAGCTAACAGTAGTAAATCATTTTTCGCTGTAAGTTTGAACCCACTTCATTCAGCTGAGGAAATTAAACGTAAGCAACTCGAGTAGTAAGTGAAATTCTGTACACAAAAATTTTGTGTTGGTGTTTCACCTAGTTTAGTGAATGTGTTGCACTTTTTGAACAATAAATGCTTGCAGCATTTAAAATAAATTATCAATCTACAAGATACCAGTTTGAAAAAACTGTGAAAACCTCAAATGCAAAACTCATAATTCCAAAAGTTCAAAGTAATTTTGACTTCAGGTGAGTAGGGTAACCAAGTATATGTTGATAAATCCAAGTGTTCCGTAATAAACATCTTCACTAGTGGTTAACAGTGAAGGATATGCCGAGTATTACTGATCAAGGCCTTAAAACCTCTATACAGAAACTGTATACTAATTTTAGGAAAAAGGAAATGACTGGATGAATAAACTGCTATCATTGAAGCTACGATGAAAAATATAAAAGCCTTGGTACGCCAACATAATTTTGACACTGTTGTGGCATCGACAAGACTCTGGTGAAATAATCTAAGCACACATTCCAACTGTCTGGAAAAAAAACGGTTACTAACAGTTTTTGTATAAGTGGAAACTCCAGCATGACTGCCGGGTTTACAAAAACACACTTTACCACTTACCTCAGCATTTGGATGCTTTTTACGCGCAGCTTCCAAGTATGGAGAATTTTCGGCTAGCTGCCTGCTAGGGGCTGTCAAAAAGTAAATATTTCGCTGACCTGCATACATTCGACTAGCATATTCATCCAGAGATGTGGTTTGACCAGCAGGCAGAACACTTGACTCCCATCGTAATAATTTAGCTATTTCTTCTCGTAACTGCTGATCTCCTTCCATGACCAGTCCTTCTTTAAGGTAAAGACCATAATCCTCCAGAAAGTTGATAAATTTGCTTGCATCACGTGATGCTTGTTGCTGTAGTAAAAAATAATTATCAAAGTTAAAACATATCATTCACTTGGAAGTACTTAACAAGTCGTTTGTTAGATGCATAATGCAACAGTGAGCTAACTGCAGCTGAACCTCAATCAACGCAAGAATGCAACATGTATTGAGAACATGTGAAAAGGCACTTAGTACCCTAGTTAAGTGGATAAACAATTTGGAAATTAGTTTTAAAAAAATACACAGTTCATGATATTGTATTGAACTTGGAGACTAGCAGCGGAATCTAGAACGCGCGTTTCATCCAATTCGGGACTCGTCAACTGGATTTACCTGCACCCCAGTGGGTGATGTCGTTCCCACTGGGACTCGAACCCAATATCCATCGCTTCAAACGGCAAAGTATTATCTACAAGGCCATTGGGACACGACAGCCACCACTTGTGTGATGGATACCAATTTTTGTTTGATACTTGTAATTTTTCGTTGCTATACTGGGTGGAATTCATAGACCTCTGTTGGCAGATCAGTACATCATGAATATCCGGCGGTTTCGAGGCATCCGCATAGAAGCCCACCCTGTTAACAGAGGTTGGGCAATTCAACCTTGTATAGCAATGGGAAATTTGCTAGTATCAAACAGCATACATAGTCGATGTTGGCATTCCTTTTGGCTTACTGATTTTCGAACTAAGATGTGATACGACAACAAGATTTCTGTTTGAGACAATCTATGTAAAAATGCAGACTGCAACCTCCAAATTCAAATGTTATGAACTAACGAAACGTTCTGTTTAAGTGGTCAGAAATAAGCCACATTGTTATGCAGATTTTGAAAGCCATCCATACCTCTTTATTCAACACATATGTTCAATCTCTAATTTTACCTTGGCCATAATCTCCATAAGACATTTTATTTATTTATTTATCGTAATCCTATAAACAACTTTTTCATGACCTGGTACCGACCCATCAGCCATTGATGGACGTGTATTGTGTTGTAGTACAGCTTCTGAAAATGATTTGTCGAAAATAAAATTATCATTTATGCTGGGTGATGATTAGAAGTGAAATGAAAATTTGAGCCGCAACAGGAGTCGAACCAGCGACCACCGTGTTCCCCCCCCCCTCCACCACCTTGATGTCCTACCAATTAAGCTACGAGGCTCAACTGCAGACCAGATTTTTATTTTACTTTCATCTTTAGTTAATCTTTCATTATCAAGTAGGACTATTTCAATGGTTGAAAAATTAGCCAGATTTCTGGATCGATTTTGTACCTGGGTACCAGTGATGACCTCAACTCCGAACCAGAAAAATGATTATTTGGTCGTTAGATTACACCGGTATAGAAAAAAACCTGAATATCAATATATGCGATTTCGCATTGCTAACAGTGTAAATACCGTCAAAACAAATTATTTTCTCCTTATTATTCCCGCCTATCACTTTCAGAAAACATGATTATATTGCTTTTGGTGCATTGTGCAAATACAACACCCATTTTTTAAACAAACTTCATTTTCTAGTTATATTAGAAATTTGTAAAACGGAAAAACCGTTTGGAATTGGTGAGAGTGCCTCGTTTTAGATGGTAATAATGTTGTTAAACACTAATTAATATAAGCTAATCAGTCGATCCAAACCTTGACATTACCAGATACAATTTATTGTCACAATACTCTTGTTCTTGAATTTGTTACGTAAAACACAAGTAAAGAGGCAATTAATTCCGAACACCTGAGTTTTACTGAACAACAATAACAATAATGGCTTTATTCCAAACAAGATATTTGGTATAGTACAGAGTTTTCAGCATGTAATAGTTTAAGCAAAATAATCTTTCCATTTGAATAATGCTAGTAATAATAGTAATGTAAACCACAGTGTGAAACAGGCATCTGGTATTGCATTAGCATCTGGTTTGGATTGGTGAATGAATAGAGTATGGAGCGTAATTTTGGTGGCGGAAGTTTATCCAGTCAGTACCAAAACCTGGAATTCGACATAATTATCCAAAGAATAGTAATATACTATATTTCTTTGCATTTATAAGCTAATCTTTTACCGGCGTACTGTTTATTCTTTGCTTTCCTATTAGCTTGAAAAAAGCCAGTTTAAAACCATTTTAAAAGTACACGAGAGTGCTTGACGTTTTCAAAGGATATTTATAAGATTGAAACAAATTGAAGGGATGGATTTGATGAAATAAATTTCGTCGAAAATGTACGGTCGCCCAAAGTTTAAACGGGCCGCCAGATTAGTCTTTCTCAATCATGCTCGATTCACTTACATAACTTAGCATAAGTCTGTGTTAAAGGGTACAAAAGTGAAACATTTACTGGAAAAAAACCATAGAATCACCTAGTATGAGAGACTTAGCGGTCAAAGAAAGGCAGTATACAATGCCATGATTTACTAGTTTTGAAGGTAAAGCGCTTTACGACTATTCAAAAAACCCCACATACTTATGGTGAATTCGATTCCGATCTATGATAAATATAAAGCGAGAACCCAGTAAGACAACTTGAATTAGCTTATGAAGATCACTGAATACAAAAACCATACTAAGTTACTCCAACGAAAAAAATTGAATGATCATGATTAAACGTTTCTGTCAGCAATCTTCAACTTACAGATAAGAACTTGAGGAATCTGACAGTCAGTAGTCGGTTAATACGACGTATTAACGAATTGTCTTGAAGTAGTTCCCTACTCAAGTTCAAAGGAATATCTTCGCTGTCAACAACACCCCGGAGAAAACGAAGCCATTTAGGTAAAAGTGCTTCCGTACGATTCATTATCATAACCTATTAAAGGTGAACATTATGAACAATATATCATAGATAGAAACTGATTTATCATTGAACAAAAGAAAATACCTCGGGAATCGATTAAGCAAACTCAACACATAAAACCAAAATAACTTGGTGTACACACGTGAAATGTGAGTTGTATGTTAAAATATCAGTGCGATAGCGACCCTATCAATTAACCTTTGTGTAGTGGTTCACAGATTCTCAATTACAATGTCCTAGTCAAACAGTACTGGTTGAAACTCCTACTAATTGAGTTCGAAACAAACCACACTGGTTTCGTAGGAAACAACTAAACCGAAAGACACTACGAAAATCATAGTATAGAAAGCTCGAAATAACTTCAGGTCTAGAGGTGAAGGCATCCCTTTGATTACATGTGCGTTCTGTTAGCTGTGCTTCTCGACCAACCACGGTATACTTCTCTCATTTTTGGTAGGAGTGCTTAAAAATAACCCAACCCTGAGATGGCATACTTTGTTTTCAGACAGTTCTACAGTACTATGTGTAAGAAATTCTAAATTGCAAGTTAGACCCAAAGATAAATGTCAAGTATATACTCTTAAAGCTACAAATGCAAACGTCTGGGTCGTGCAGATTAGGGATACCAATCTAGTTTTTCCTTCAAACATTTTGAAAAGATTATATTTTATAGTATAATGGTGTAAGAACAATCTGTAGTCTACACACCTAAAGGAGTATACTTACACGTAATTCATGCTCGTTAAATGGATAATCATACTCCTGGACTGATTCTGCATCGATACCTAGTTTAAAGACAAACAGAGTCGTTGGACTTCCATGTTGATAAAGTGACTGTGGAAGAAATCCTGCCATGGATGCAAAGCACCCGTTCGGTATTCACCAATCTATGTTACATCCAGTATTGGTAAGGTAAATGACCACCTATCTATCAAATGCAGGTACAATATTCAACAGTACGCTCCACGCTACTCCAGAGCTGTGAAACATGACAGTTAAAAGTAGACTGCATTAGAAAAAATTAGGTTTTTTACCAAAGGTATTTTTGTATTATATGCCACGTGAGGTATGACTAAAAAGTAATGCTGACGTTGCGCATAAAGTGAAAGCTAAGGATGATAAGTAAATCGACGTGGTTGCGAACATTCATCGAATGATGTACTATCGAAGACAGATGAGTAAAAGCAGCTAGAAAGCAGACTGAACAAAACTTGTAAGTAACTAGTGCGGGTAAAAGCGAATGCTGGAAGTGAACAATAAGGAGAGCATAGGCAGTGGGTATTAAGCATTAAACCACCAAGTCTACACGTAAACTGGCTCAAAAAGGCTAGGGTCATACGAAAATACAACTTTTTTAAAAACTAATTGATGATACGCCATTACAATAAGCTATTCAAATAATGAATGGAGTAGTTTGAGAAGAATCTCAATATCACCGATATCTCTAGCTAAAGAGGAGCACGGTGTAACAGAACTACGATTTAAACAGTTCACCCTATTCGGTCATCTTCAAAGACAGTGGTCTCGAATTGTTATTTAAACTGACTAAAGTACTAGCTCGAATAAGGAGTAATTCCTCCTGAATATTCTTGACAATAGGTCAATCTACTCTGATAATGAGAAATAATAATCCTTTCTCTACAAAGGAATTTAAAAAAGCTTACATGGTTTTCTAAATAATCAGATCTGTAGCAGGATTCATGAACAGAAAACCTGAGAGAATAAGATAGGTCTCAAATTTGATCCATAATACATCAACCATCATCCTCAGGCAAAGTGTACAAGCCAAGCATATTGAAAATCACCCTACTTTGAGCAAAACTTATCTAGTAGAAATACTCAACTCAATTTCTCAAAAGTTTGCAGCAACTCTAAGAAGAGTACAGAAAATGTTTGGCGAAAGTCCTCTATTTAACCAAGTATAACCGATAAAAATAAGTGGTATTCATTAGAAATGTTCATTTTTATTCTTCACCCCCACCCCACTCCCCAAGAAAAAACCCTAGTTATAGCTTTATTAGTCGTAAGATCTTGGGATGAGTATGTAAGCCCTAATTGATGGATGGAATCCTGTATTTTTTCAGATAACTTTTGACCTTAGAAGAACTACATAGTGTTTCAGGAAAACTTATGAATAAGTGTTACAAATTAGTTGAGAAATTATAAAAAAACAAAGACTTCAGAGAATAAATTCGTTTTCGGCGATTTCATCCACAGAAGCTGTATAATCAAAACCCAATATAATTAGCATTAGTGGTAAAAATGACGATAGTTTATTAAGCAATAATTAGCCGACAGTGAACAGGAAAATAATGTGCGAATGGAAGTTACATAGTATGTTCAAAATGAGTTGTTCTCTGAACTAAGATTTTAGTTGGAAAACGTTTTGATAGCATGCCAGACATCATCTTCCGGAACTGCGTCCACTGCCAATCAAATGTCGTAATATGGAACTTTTTGGTCGACCTAAGTTGACCATTATGCTAGAAGATATTGGCATCGAATTATTGACTGACAAACATTTTTACCAATAAATGTACACACCAACTGTAACTGTACAACTTTTAAGGATGAAATCAAAAAAATATAAATTTATTTGCTGGATTTTTTTTATAACTCATTTAGAATACTTAGATTGAAAAATTGTGAAAAAAAAACCTACTTTACGACTGTACAGTGCAACACCATTATCCGAATCACGTGCCATATCAAATACGCTCGGTTTCCAGTTTGGTACATAAAGAAGTACACGTAAATTTAATGGTGCATCCGTTTTGTATGAAAAGGTGTAACGTGGACTATCATACGTATTGCCAGAGAGATATTGAAAAAATGAAGTATGCTCTTCATCAGATACCTGAAAGGAAAATTGAAAGAAGAATGAAGTTTATATAAAGTAAAAGCATTGATTTGCACTAACAGGGAATAATGATGAAAACCAATACCTGAAGACTAACAAGTTCACAGGTGTAAAAATTCTTCTAATCAACACTGATTATTAATAATAATCACGTTAATCTGATATCACTCCTATTTTTCAGGTGAATGCTTTTAATGAAGAGTACAATTACTCGACAAACAGACTTAATAAAATCCCTTCATACTTAATAAATTTAGAGGGACAAATACTATTTTAGCGGAAAAACATTCACAGAAAATGAGAAATGCTGAAATATAATAAATTTATGTAGCCATCAGCGTCATCTTTTCTTGAAACCGATAATTTTCGAACAAATGCGTTCAAGTGTATAAACATTTGTGACATTTAATTTGTTTTGTTGTAAGCAGCTGACGAGAAACCGTGAGATATAATGAGCCCATACTATTCTGCTAGGAGGAAATTCAAGCTCTACATCACGGTATAGTTTCATAAAATAATAATATGCGATGATAACAATATTCACATTAGGATACAAGCATTCTACAGGGGAAATAAATGTGAGACTAACGAAACGAAAAAATTAAAATGACAAAACAGTGATAACAGAGTATAAAGGTACTTACTTGTGATTGGTCTTTCATCCATAATGGTTCTATAACATTGATGCGTCGACCATTTAGGAAAACTGGAGTACTGATAAAGTTGCTATATTTACGAAGAATGCGTTCCAGAACCTCATCTTTTGCGAATTCAGAAGCTGAGTCTTTTAAATGCAGCACAATTTTCGTACCAAAACTAACATCTTCGGCATCACCAATTTCGTATTCACCCTCAAGACCAGAGGAGGACCAATGACTTCCAAGTCCTTGTGCACTACTTTCTGTGTGACTGCGTGAATATACATCAACCTGTAAAATTAGATTTTTATGTGTGTAAACAAAATGAAATATAGCAAATGTGTACCTAAGTGAATGAACTACATTTTAGTGGATAAGTAAAACACTGATGACAGCGAAAGTTATGTATAGCTTACACAAAGTTGCAAACGATCTGCCACAGCAAATGCATTGAGAACAAATGCTTATGAAAACAAAGGATACGAAAGTAAAAGATAAGTAATGACGAAAGGAAAAAGTTTTGTACATGCTCAAGATAACTGCACTTAGGCAGGACTAAGAGTCCCCAACAATTTAGACAAGCATATTCACTTCTCCTTGTTTGATTGGAAAATTTAAAGCAAAAGGCCATTGAAACGGTTAGAGATTTGAAGCATTAAAATGAGCAGCATAAATGACATCTGATCCCCTTCACTTGCTTATCACTTAGCTACAAAATGAACGGACACAGATTGCCCAATACACTGAAGTCTAAAAACTTTCTGCAAAATCGTATAAACTAACTGTTTGGTCACAGAAGCTTTTAAGAAAGGTCAGCAATCACCAATGATCTCAACCCCTGAAAATGAAACCGTATACAGATAAAACATATCTGAATCAACTTGATCTCAAAGGCTGAACGATTGTTTATCAATACTAGATAAAATGAGAAGTTTAGAGAAGATACCTTTTTCAACGACTTTATTCTTTACAGCTGTACAATCGCAATTCATATATTTTTGTTCTACCAAATCGGACAAGCACTATTCAATTAAACCTAGTGACTAAAATCAAGCTGAATGGAGACTTAAAAACCACAGGTGTGGTGTAGGGTTATGACTAATCGCAAAAGAGCATAATACGTAAAAATAACTTTCAAGATGAAGCGTGGTCAGGAATGGCAAAGAAACAAAATGAAGCGGGTGATGAATCATCAAAAATATTTAATAAAATATAACAAAATTGTAAATACTAGGTGATAATTGAAGGTGAAACGAAAATCTGGGTAGCGAATCCTCAATTAACCTTCAATCATCAACGAGTAACAATTATAAAAGTCTGACAGACCAGCGACAGACAAAAAGAAGCGATTGATGTTTTCAGCAATTAACAAAATGAACAAGTTCTGTTGAACACATAATCCCAGTTTCTTCGTGCATGTGACAACAGTTTCTGACGTAAAAAGGAGGCAAAAACGTGCCATCTTCGGAAAAATTTCTTTCCACCTTACATATAGCTTCGAATGCTGAATCAGTTGTGATCCTATGAGCAACCGTGACAAGGCGCCTAACTGTTGCATTTCTGATGGACCCATTGGCACCTTTACAACCAGGCAGGATATTGTTTACTAACCCCTTTGGAAAGAACGCTTAGCAAACGACCTACATATACCTGGCTAGACAGAAGTAAGTGAATTGGTAAAAACACATGGAAGTGGTCAGATGCAGCAGCTTATCCTTCGGGTTACCAGGAATTATTGGATGACTGAAGAATACAATTCCCAAGGTTGACACGAAGACAGCTTTTTTTTACGGAGTTTGCAGCTCTTTTTTTCAAGACAACAGTAGCGAAATCACCTTTGAAGTCAAGATTCTTTCAAATTACCTTCTTCCGAGTTTAAAAAAAGTATCTTGGTGGCTTAGGTTCTCTGTTTTTTCCACAAGTCATGATGGATATCTGTTTTGAGTTATTATCGATAAGCAATCAAAGTTCTTGCATGATAATCATAGGATAACCAGCTTGATCAAGATAGTTTTCAAGATTCTAGAACGAATAATAATTCATCTAGCTGGATGCTTAGTTTCAAACAAAGAAAGTAAGTCAGTCAATGATAAACAGACAAATCAACGTGGAACCTAGCTTAGAAGAGTGTCGGTTCAAGTTGCCACAATTCAGAGTAGCATCCAAAGAACAAGTGGGTTGAGAAAGAATATCAAAGAAGACGAAAGTGTATGCGAGGAAAAGAAATTTCAAATATGAAGCCTAGTGAAAATGCTAGGACTTTCCAAACCGTCAAAAAGTGAATACTTCTGCTCCATAGTGACTAGTTTCCAGCCATGTTACCAAGAGTCTCCAATCATTGGAGCTTGTTATTTTGACGACACCAACTGGACAGTCTTTTAGCTCTCTACATGGTTCAGACCAACATTCAGAGACTACATATACTAGTGCCACATCTTGGTCTAGCCACCCTGAGCGATCAAATCCAACGTTGGTTGACATTGCATGTCGAGGGCCAACTCCAAAACACATAAATACGCAGCCTGAGGTGGACAAAATCCAGTGAGAAGCTTCTACTGCTTATTTGCTGACGCTTCAAACGGCAGTGTAATCAACAGATTAGCCTTATGAAGCAATCTAGTTAACAATAAATACAGTAATGAAATTTGGACAAAAAGAACCTCAGAAGTACTTTATCAGCCACCATGAAGCAAGCGTAAAAACCGACTCCAAATTGGCCAATGATATCAACAGATTTCTGATTTTCTTGATCACCACCTAAATTAGAGACGAACTCTCGGCTTCCAGAACGGGCTATTGTCCCAAGATTTTTCTCTAATTCACTTTTAGACATTCCGATCCCCGTATCTTGAATAACAAAGATTTTTCTAGCTTCATCTGTCTTGATGTGTATTTCTAAAGGTAAATCTTCTGAAATGGATTGAACTTGACCAGAAAGGCGCTGAAACTTCAGACGTTCAATAGCATCACTGGCATTTGAAACCAACTCACGAACAAACACCTACAAGCCAAAATGACAGATAGGATAAAATATATTACATAGGAAACTACCAATTTTAAACATCTTAACACGAGAAAGCCAAAGCGTGGTTTAGTACTGGTAGTAACAATAATAGCCACTTGAAGTAAACTGCATCTTACAATAGAACAACTGAAATTTCAAAACTACAGAAAACTATCAGTCACAATTGAACACGGCATACTTGACTATCCCACTGAGTCATCAAAAACTAAAATAAGAAAATTCAGAGAACAAAACTCTCTTTTTATCGAATCAATTTCTGAAGCTGTGCATCTGTATTTATAATTACAACGGAAATATATACCCACTGATGTCTAGTGGATAAGCACGAGATTACCAAACATTGTCTCTAGGGTTATAAGGTAATAGCTGAAAGATTAATACAAGGTCTGTCTCAGAATGTGTTGAAAATTGCTTCTACAATTACAGGATGACTGCATAAATATTTATGAAGGAGAAGAACAGATAAGAAAAGCATGATATTAACAATTACAAACTACGGAAAGGGCATGAAAATAACTTCGATAAATAAAATGAGAGAAGTCATAGGAACAGTATGACGAAGGTAAAATTAAAAATCTAAGGTATAACTTTTAAATTCAAAGATCAGGCTTGAATAAATGAATTACCAAGTCTTCCACTACGTTCATGTGATGAGTCCTCACTTCTTTCGAAATATTCTATTTTAATTTATAAATACCTCTGAAGGAAGATTCTGACGGAACAGAGTGATCAGAGTTGAACAAATGTTTATGAACGGAACTGTTTGTCGATTTGCACTCTCCTCTAAACTGCGGCTCAGTTGTTTAGAGAGATGACTATTAAGTGTTGAGCGACGAGTTCGACTCCCGCTCCACTTACCAAGGTTTGGGCAGCCAGGTAATATCACTACCCCTCACACAATAGGTGTGGCTCGTTGCCTAATGCATGGTTGTGCAAAAGGTGGTTGAGTTTGTTTCGTTTTCCTTGAAACAACGATGCAAGTAATACTTGGAGATGCATATGGATAGAACATGTTTTGTGCAACCTATGTAACCAGCTTCATAAGAGCAGGCGAGTCGGTAGATACATGTTATTACCTAGAATGGTAATTTGTTCCCTACACACTCTCGAATCAGTTGACTGGAGAACACAAAGTCTTCCTCAGCGCTTTAAGAAATCGATTCTTGAGTAAATTTCCCATTGTATCTCCTTTAAATCCAGTCCCTAAAGTATCTTCTTTGTAACCGTAAAGGTGCATTTCGGGTATTGATTAACCCTCATGATCCTGTCAACGAATCTTGAGGGATTATCATTCTCGATGAGCACTATTCCAGCTTTTTATTTACTGCATCATCTATCTAAAGTCCTCTGGTTCTTGTGGACCGTGAATGAATTAGATTTCTTTTCCTGCCTAGAACACAACTTTGAAAACTAGTATGTTCTCCATCCCAGGTTTATCTCCTTTAAATTTATGTTCGGGTGGAATTACCATGTCTTCTTGTCAACAAAACATCCACGAAGTGATACTGTGGGTTGTTTTCAGTTTTCATAATAAATTTAATTGACTTGCAACACTGACTGAATTTTTGTTGTACGGTTTCAAGGTTACTGTTTTCACACGCTGCAGAACACTAGACTACGTCGGTTGATGGATCACTCCCATCCACATGAGATACTGGCACACATTCTAATCTCTAGCTTAGGTATCTCTTTTTGAAATAGATGGAGCGATTTCCTATGACAAATGTGATGCGACTTATACCTAAATCATCATCATTATCAATCCCATGCACAATAATATATATATTAGCTATCAATAATTTGTGGTTGCTGAAATCATATGATATAACAACTAAAGATATCTCATTTTCAGAATGTTCTGCAAAGGTCATCTTTCAAGGATGAGAAAGAAAAACAAGTTCTTTAGCGACCACTATGAATATTTGACGCATAGCCGATGAACAGACATACATTATCAAAACTGGACTTGACATTACAGTGAAACAGTCCCCACACTCCACAGCGAACCATGACAAAAAGTACCAACAAGAAAGACAAAATGAAAATAATATTCATGAATTGGTTACCAAACAATAGCTGATTTGAACGTCAAATCTTTAGTATCAATTAAAGTCTATGAATAGGTCTTTGAATGTGATGCGACGCTGAAGTATACTGTGTTTAATATTGCTTTCTAGAAGTCATCTGGTATGAAATCCTGAATATAGTTTTCCAATAAAGTTAGTCATCCGGTAACATAACTATGCAGAAAGGTCTTCTTGACAGGAAACTTGACTCCAGAAAGAACTCATCTTTCACTTTGTCCAAACTGCAGTCAGTTAGTGGCTTACGCAGACAAGGAACAGGCACGGACATACATTATGTCCCTTCGAATCCTTACATATTCATTCACTCAGACAGAATATACGGGATTTTTAATTCCAAGCAGTTTTTTTGCCTTAGAACTTTGTGCTATCTTCACATGGGCGAAACCACATGAATCAGTCATAGATTTCTTAGGTATCTATGAGATGAATTGCACCAATTCACTTCTTTCGCTAGATGAAATCAAGCGAATAAATAAATCCGGGTTTTACTCACGCGTCTCAGAAACAAAAATACAATGGTTATTTGAAATCCTTCGAAAAAAGTAGAAATGCACTCAGTAACCACAAGTACGTCCATGTGGTAGGCAGTGTCCCACCTACTGTACAAAGGGTAATACTACCCGGTTGCCTAAAGCTCGTAGGGTGAAGCGAGACTAGAATCTGTGACCCAATGGTTAGAAGTCAAATGGGTAGACCCATGGGCTGTAGTTTCACTCTGAAATCCTTAACTTTTGACTAAAAAAACCTATTAACTGGATTTACATAAAGCTTGGATGAAGTTTCGAATAATGTTCCGCTGGGTCCACTTCTGAGCTGTGCTTTAGGAGTAAGTTGATGAAAATGTTGAGGAATGAAGAAAAGGACAAAAATTAGGATCACTAGTCAAAGCTAGATAGGTTTTATGTCCCGTTGGAAACACGACAGGAATCGATACATCTAATTGCTTCCCATACCGCGAAAGCTGACGTACTGTAGTGCCTGGAAGAAAAATAAATTTTGTGTAACTTGAGGATTCTAGAGACATTTTCTGGAAACCCATCTAATGAAATGTGTCGCAGAAGCTTACCGCTAGCAATAGACAAGGTCAAACGTACAGTTAATTAGGGGCATAACCTTGTCCTAAATCCCTCATGATAACTCAAATTATTCACACTACAATTGTAGCTGCTCCTAATTTTACGATTGTGTACCTGACTACTCTGGCATGGTGAGACCTCGGACAATAATCATCCCAGTCAGCACCGCTCGCTGAGTAACTGAAATATGAAGCCCGACTGATATACCAAGGTGACAACTCGTTTACAGAACAACTACAGATAGATGAATTCAAGTTGGAAAGTTGTACAGTGTAAGACAGTTCGCCTTACGTAAACACCATATAACTACAGAAGTATGAAAGTGTTGAGTGCTTTTGTAAATTAAACCTTTAATACGACACCTTTGTTTGTATTTACAAATCACTATAATCCCCCCCCCGGAAAATGAAGCAATGCGCAAATCACAAAGTAGTTTAACTAGCATAAAACCTACCAAATATGCATGAACGTGTTTTTTTTACTAACCTCTTTGTCTGAGTATAGAGATTTTGCAACGATATCCAGTAATTTTTGAGTCTCCGCTCGAAATCCTACTTTCACTTTTGAACCACAACTACGTTCATTATCAGTAATAATTGTATGTTTCGGATTTTCATCTTCAGTTGTTTTGAAGGCTGTACTATATTGCGAGAATGTTTGCCGCAATAATACGGGACTGTACAAAGATGTGACACTTCGTTGATGAATTTGTAGGAATTGTGATGATCCACGAACACGATAAATACAACTCAAAAATCTGCACGGCCCCCACATGTAATTAAAACCTTCCGAAACTAGGTTGTCTATCAAAACTTGAAATATTTACACAGCCTGAAATAATCGGTCAATACAGCAATCTTTACTATATTTTAAAAATTTATACTTTGAACAACTCAACAACAGTGAGACAGCTAAAATACAAATAAATTAGTGAAATGTGATGAGCAACAAACTAGAAAGGGAATGAAGTACAAACTTCAAACAACTCAGTTTCTTGAATGCACAAATTCTTACTAGTTTTAAGTGGGTCCTGGGTTCGAACTCTGTTCCGCCCATATTGGCCCCGGTAGGCAGGCAAAGTTATAAGCCCTTAAACAATGAGATGTTAAAACCAAAAAAGCCTTTTGTACCCGGGCTGAGATTTTGTCTGTAACCAACCCATGCACATTGAAGCAATTTTCTAAGTGGTGGTAAGCGTATTCAACACCTTCACTCCGTCTTTAATCAAGTAGTCAATCCAAACCCGTCTCGAAGTATCGTCTTGGATTTGACACCTGCAAAATGTATGCCAAACAAATTCGTGTTTCCACAAAAAGGATTGAGAAGACTAATCTGTCAGGGTCTTCGTGAGACAGGAATATGTCGTCTGCGTACGTTAAGCAACTAGGTGACTTTCAATGAGCAAGTCAATACATAAAAAGTTGGAGTTCCTGAGAATTTATATCACCACATATACAAATCTAAATAAGAATAGGGATAGTGGACATTCCTAGCTGATACTGCTTGGTCCTCATTACTTCAGACAACAATCCTTCGTAAGCCCTAACACGAAAGAGTTCTAACAGAGAGACCCGATTACCACGCACTTTTAAGGCACTCCCGTCAATCAGACAACACTACAACGTTTCATACTTGGTGACGCCCGGTGTAGTGTTAGATCCCTCAACTAATAGCAGACATCAGAAATTTTGTGATGAAACGACCATTTTCGCGAAGAAAAGACGGATTGTCTGCGCGAGTGTTATTTTGAAATCCATCAGACAGTTGTGATTTTGTCTCCCTGCCTCGTGAGAAATGCCACGAAAGTAAAAATACTTGTCTGATATCACTCTATACTGGGCCATGCCATCGGTTTTAAAAGCCAGGGATATAAGTTACTTTTGATAACAACTACAGTGTAAAAACTATTCTCTTCGTTTAGTGTGTTAAGATTCATGCAGGGTTACATTAGGTTGGTTTACCATGTTCTAAAAAATATTAAAAGCTAATTAGTTAACATAATAGCGTACCATGAACTTAGCACTCTTAATGGCAAAAATATCTAGCTTAGTAATCCCATGCATGTCCATGTTCAGGGTTGTAAGCCACAACTATAATGAAAAGACCAACAATATCTTGCCGTTAGGATATCGGTAGGTGAGGTGAACATGACACTATTTTACGAACAAAGGGTCAAAGTCAATCAGCCCTAACAGAATGACAATGGAATACATATTTACATTTTGGGTTTGACATCAACCTACAAACTACACTGCAGACTGAATCCCCTAGATTTTCCGTCAGTAAACGACTTATATCTTATGCAGTATTCCCAAGTATTTCAACGAAGGGATCGTTGCATAAAGTTAGTGCTTATGTAACCTAGCCTGAGCTTAGTTACTAGGCGGTCCTAAGCCCGGATAAAGAGGGAAGGTTGGGCATAGGGCTAGCAAACCTACCCCAGAAAACCAACCCAATCGCTAAAGAAACTTCAAAGCACAAAGAAAATATAAACTTATTCCTCAATGGAATCGGGGAGACAAAATGAGGCCGGTTGGTGAAAGCCTTCAGAAGGCCAATTGACCGGGCCGATGTGTCTTCTCCTCTCTCGACGAAAGAGAAAGTAAGAATGAGGACATGGAATGTCCGCACCATGTTTGAAGTTGACTGGTTGACAAGGCTGTCAAGATTGCAAAAGAAACGAGAAGATATAGCATACAAGTGCTAGGAATCAGCAAGGAACCTGCAGGTGGAATGGAAGTAGACTCTCCAAACTATCATCTGGAGAGTTAATAATTTACTCTGGTATTATCACCCAGACGACAACCACGAGCACAGAGTTTTCCAGTTGCTATCATGATGTCCCCAACAGCATCGACGGCTCTCTCTCAAACAAAGAGAACTCATCTCCTCCTGCAGGGTCAGGATCATGACAGGAAGATGGAATCAACTGAAGGAAAGTCACAATAATACAATGCTACGCTACGCTATGCACCTACAAATAATGCAGATGAAGAGAAGAAGGACGAATTCTATAGACAACTGCAATCAGTAATGGACGAGACCCCACCACCAGTTGGCGACATCAAAATTCTAATGGGTGGGTTGACAGGAATGCCAAACTGGGGGTGGACAACACAGGAAGAGAACTCATCATGGGTCGAGAAGTACTCGGTGAAATGAACGAAAATGGGGACCTATTTGCAGACTTCTGGGCATTTAATAATTTGGTGGTTGGAGGTAGTGTTTACGAACACAAGGATATGCAAAAAGCAATATGGATTTGATCCCACCAGACGCACGCACTAAAAATCAGATCGACTTCATCTCAATCTCAAGAAAGTGAAGATGCAGCCTACTGAACACAAGATCAAGAAGAGGAGCAGATTTAGGTTCACACCACTCACCATCTAGTACAATGAACCTTGAAAATCAAGTTGAAAGCATTCACAAAAGTTGGTGATGATACACCGTGGTTCAAGTTCAACACCCACCCAGATACTGAACTGAAGGACGAAACTACAAAGGACATCTTCAAGTCAGCTATCAGGACAAAATGGGAGATATTGAGCAACATCTCTGAAGAAACCTGAGTGGAAGAACACTGGAACTCTCTAAGAGAGATATGGAAGAAAACCTGCATAACCGTATTAAAGAGGAAAAAAGAAAGACAAGAAATGGATCCCCATGGATACATGGGAGCTAATAGAGCAGGGAGAGAACGATGGCAAAGCAGAAGATGAACCAGTGCAGTGCAGTGGAAGGATGAACAACGAGAAGAAGAACTGAGTACAACCTATAAAACACTACACTGGACAAAGAAGTGAAGGAGAGTGCGTGCAAAGATAAACCACACTTCTATGACACTCTGGCAAGTGAAGCGGAACAGACTGCAGGTAAAAGAGACAGAGACCTGACAACATTATATCAAACAACCAGGTTACTATCTGGGAAGAGATCAACTCAGATGAAACCAACGAAAGATAGCAAAGGAAACCTAGTTACCACCAATGAGGAAAAGCAAGGGTAACAAAACGATGGATGGACCACTTCGAAATTTCTTGAGTCGACCAACAAAACCACCTCCTGTAACTCGTCCACAAATTCCACCAGCAGCCCGGCCACACAAGTATCAACGAACACAAGCCCTCTGACAAATGCCGAAGTCCTGAACGCCATGAAGTTACTGAATTCCGGGAAATCAGAAGGACCAAATGAAATTATTCCGGGAGCACTGGAAACAGACGCAGAGACAACAGCGAACATGCTCACACCACTACTGCACAAGGTTTGGTAGGAAGGAAAGGTACCTGCCCACTGGGTGGAAGAAGAGCTACCTTGTCAAACTTCCAAGGAAGGAAGACCCAAGTCTTTGGAAGGACTGGCGTGGAATCATGCTGCTGTCAACCACAAGCAAAATATTACGCTGCATCATCCTGGAGAGACTTAAACATCCTCTAGACTCAAAACTACAACCGGAACAGGCCAGCTGGCTGGTTTCAGAAAGAACAAATCATGTGTGGATCAAGTTTAAACACTACGCCACGCAACATCATAGAATGGCAGTTAACTCTCTGCCTCAACTTCATCGATTTTTAAAAGGCCTTCGATAGTGTCGACCGAGAAGTGATTTGACAGGCAGGTGATTCAACACTAGGGTTTTAGTGTCACAAACCTTTATCAACCTCATTTAACAGCTATGTGACGACGCCACACGCCAAGCGATTCACAATGGAAAGCTCAGTGACGCCATTGAAGTGAAGACAGGAGTAAGACAAGGCTGCCTATCATCACAGATGACCGTGATTGTGGTTAACTGGATCATGTAACAAACTGTGAGGAGCTAGATGGTGCGCATACGCTGGACCGGTGAAAAGACCCTAGAAGATTTGGATTTCGCAGTGAGGATTTATGTCTAATGTCGCACAAACTCGAAGATCTAACACGTTGACAGAAGAGGCGAGGCAGCGAAGACAGGACTTCAAGCGAATGTAGGGAAGACAGTGATGAAGATACCCAACCAACAACAGCATCAACAACAAGCACCAATCAACGAGAGAAACCTAAAGGAAGTAGTCTCTCTCTCCTACCTGCCTAGATAGCATCGTTTCAACTACATGCGGCGACACAGATGAGGACGTCAAAGACAGGATCCAAAAGACAGCAAGACAGGCTTTCTTTAATCTAAAGTCAGTGTGGAGATCTACTGCACTGCACTCAGCATAAAGAACAAGATCCGGATTTTTAACACCAACGTCAAGCCAGTGCTGCTATACGGTTCAGAAACTTGGCTCTTTACGAATAGAATTTCCAACAAACTAAAGACATACATGAATAGCTGCTTACGCTCAATACTGAAGATCAGATGGCAAGAAAGAATAAGCACCGTGGAACTCTGGCTGGCTGGCGACGAACCAACCAAGCACCTATCGCTCAACAAATATGCATAAGAAAGTGGAGATGGACTGGATTGGACATACACTGAGAAGACCATTCGGGGACATCAAGCGCTAGGTCCATCAGTGGAACCTAGATGGGAAACGGCGAGTTGGGCAGCCGAGGGTGACATGGAGGACATCGTGCGAGGGGGAAATGAAAGCTTGTAGGCAGTCGTGTAGCCAGGTTGAAAAGATTGCAGAGAACAGAGTGCAATGGAGACGTGCAACTGAAGCCCTATGTTCCACTAAGAACCCAAGGGACGAAATAATAATGATGATAATAATACGCGTCTATGCAATACAAAGAGGCTGGTTTGATAACTTACCTGAAGCTGAAATCTCTCAAGAAAACCTATTATCTGAAAAATGAAGTTCAACTACCCGTTAATCTACATGAAGTGAATGAATGGTCTCGTCCCCTCTGCTCAGAAATTTATGATATCCTTTTCCTCATTACTAGTAGACTTCACTTTTGGGGTAGATTCTCATTTTAAGATACATGTGTATCTTAGCTTCAAAATAGTAGCGACTAGTTATGGAAGAATTCGCAAGTGCTACTGTCATCTTCATTAGGGTATTGTAAACTGTTCTCCCTTGAAGAGATTTTATGCATTAGAGGTTTTTGTGTTGAAAGACGTTCAGACTGGTCAAAAAAAATCCTGTTCCTTTCATCAACTCCCATCCAGAAGTATTTTCCAGCTTTTAAATTTAGGATTCTTCGTAATGAATCCAACATTTCGGTCTAAGGATGGTTAGTCAGAGTAGGTAATGTGTAGCATTTTCGTAATTAACAAGCGAGTTGTAAGATGGAATCACGTTCGAGGATGCACCCAAAAGTTCGGAAGTGTGCCCAAATAGTTCTCGAGAATTATCCGGAAACCCTCAAGTACACCAAATAGGAGAAATGTCATTTATTTTTTCACGATAGAGTAGGAAGTAGACTGGGAGTAGTTTCCTTACTCTAATTTAACTTTTTGAAATATCTAACTACACAGCGATTGGAGTCTCTCGTGATTGCTGGAGGTATCACAGCATGTTTTGAGGGGCAAAATACTAAAACCAAATATTCGATAAGAATTTCCATTCAGGAAAAATTACCAAGAGCAAGTCATTCAAACGGAATGATAAAACCCTGGACTTACGATGGCTGATATATGTGCCCCACGCTTATCCACTGGGTTAAGACAATGCAGTGAAAACGTAGCGCGGACGCACTTGTAAGTCTCAAGTGCAACTTTCATTTGTGAAGAAACATCCACAATGTTTTTTGCGGTCGTTTTAAAAACTGTAATAATACTGAGAAGAGTGCCGGTAAACAGCATGTTGTCATGTAAGCTTATTTTGCGTAGCTGGTATTGCTGGTCAATATTTTGTTCAAATTGTCTATGAGACGAGATTGTTTTGGAGTAATTTCACCTAATGTCTTCGCTTGGTGTGGTTTTCTTCACTTAGTCGCTAGATTTGCTATGCAGCATGTCGAGCTGTCTAACAGCGTCACAATGGGCATGTCAGTACCAGCCTACTGTCTGTAATCTGATTTGTTGTAATTGTTTGTAGCATCGTCACTGTGTTTAGGTAAGTTATCTATTCATAATGTCAATTTATAATGAATAAGGAGCGTTCTGTAAACTTTTTCGGTGTTAAAGTTTAACTTGCTTTTCGTGCAGTAAAAATGTATTTGGAAGGTAAAAGGAAGATGTTAGGTTAAGTGTTAGGTGTACTGATATATACGCATGTATCTCATATTTACCTTTTTATGTTATTGTTGATCATGTGGACTTATGGTGGGCAGCCTGCAATAATCCACTATCTGTATTTTCAGTCACATGTGGGATGAGATTTTGCATGCGTCAGAGCATTTGTGTTCTCTGATGGAATTTTTGTGTGTATCATTATTATTATTATTAGCCCCTTGGGTTCCTAACGGAACATAGGGCTTCGGTAGCGCGTCTCCAGTGAACTCTGTTCTCTGAGATCTTTTGAACCTGGCTCCACGACAGCCCAGAAGCTTCCATTTCCTCCCCGCACGATCTCCTCCATGTCACCCTCGGATATGTGAATTACTTGGCCGGCATGTGGCGTCTTCATACAATTGTTGAATGAGGCTGATTAAGGTTTGCGGTACTCCGTAGTAATGAAGCAGTTTCCAAATTACCTCTCGGTCGACGCTGTCAAAGGCCTTCTCAAAGTCGATAAAGTTGAGGTAGAGAGTTGACTGCCATTCTATACTCTGTTCTATGATGATGCGAAGCGTTGCGATTTGGTCCACACATGATTTGTACTTCCTGAAGCCAGCCAGTGTTTTCCGGTCGTAGTTTTGAACCCAGTGCATCCTTTAGCTTCTCCAGGATGATGCGGCCTAATATTTTGCTTGCTGTGGGTGGACAGGAGAGTGATTCCCCGCCAGTTCTTGCAAACACTGAGGTCTCCCTTCTTCGACAGTTTCACAAAGTAACCCTTCTTCCAATCGCCAGGTACCTTCTCTTCCTTCCACACCTTCTGCAATAGTGGTGTGAGCATGTCCGCTGTTGTCCATGCGTCTGTTCTCAGTGTTTCTGGCGGGATCCCATCTGGTCCTGCTGCTTTCCCGCATCTCAGTAGCTTTATGGCAATCAGGACTTCCACTTTTGTTGGAGGATTCATGTTCACTTGTAGTTCAGCAGCTGCAGGTGGTATTTCTAGACGAAGTCCAGGTGGTGGTCGGTTCAAGAGCTTCTTGAAGTGGTCGGCCCATCGTTTCCTTTGTTTCTCTTCTTTCGTAATCAAATTTCCTTCACCATCTTTTATTGGTTCCATTCGCATTGATCTCTTCCCTGATAGCAACCTGGTTATTTGATACAATGTTGTCAGGTCTCTGTCTCTCCTACCTGCAGCCTGTTATGCTTCACTTGCCAGTGTTTCGTAGAAGTGTCTTCTGTCTTTCCGTACACCCTCCTTCTTCACTTCTTTGTCCAGTGTTGTGTTTTATACATTGTGCTCAGTTCCGCTTGTCGTTGAGCATCCTTGCACTGGTTTATCTTCTGCTTCACCCTCCTCCTCTCCCTGCTCTATCAGCTTCCAGGTATCCGTCGAGATCCATTCCACTCCTTGTCTTCTTTCTTCTTCCTTCCTAATACGGCTGTGCAGGTTTCTTTCCACATCTCTTTCAAAGACTTCCAGTGTTCTTCCACACCGGTTTCTTCAGGGATGTTCCTCTATATCTCCCATTTTGTCTTGATGCCTGGCTACCGTGAGGATCTCCTTTGTAGTTTCATCCTTCAGTTTCCGAGTGTTGTACTTGAACTGCGGTCTGTCACCAGCTTCCTTGAAGGCTTTAAACTTGATTTTGCAGGTGGGTTCCTTGCACTAGAAAGTGTGTTGTCTGGACCTACATCCGCTACTCTTCTTGATCTGATCTTGTGTCAAGTAGGCTGACTGCGTCTCCACTTTCTTCACATTGAGATAAAGTCGATTTGATTTTTAGTGTGTCCATCTGGTGAAATCCATGTCGCTCGTTTTGTGGATATCCTTGTGCTTGAACACACTGCCTGACTCCAATCACCAAATCGTTGAGTGCGCAGAATTCTGCAAACAATTCTCCATTCTAGTTCATCACCTCACCGAGCGCTTCTCGACCCATGGTTAATTCTCTTCCTGTGTTGTCCCCTCCCAGTTTGGCATTCATGTCGCCCATCAGAATTTTCATATCGCCAACTGACGTCTTGTCCAGTGTTGATTGAAGTTGTCTGTAGAATTCCTCCTTTTTCTCTTGCTCTGCATTATTTGTAGGTGCGTAACGTAGCATTGTATGATTGTGACCTTCCTTCCTCTTGAGTTGAATCTTGCTGCCATGATCCTGGAGGAGATTGGTTCCCACTGCATGAGAGCCTTCGATGCTCTTGGGGAACTCATGATAGCCACTCCCTCAATGTGCTCATGGTTGTCGTCTGGGTGACCGGAGTAGATTATTGATTCTCCAGTTGACAGTTTGGAGAGTCCACTCCCATTCCATCTACTTTCGTAAATTCTAAGCACTTCAATGTGATACCTCTTCATCTCGTTCGCAATCTGGGCTACATTGCTGGGTTCAAACATCGTGCGGACATTCCATGTCCCCACGTTTACTTTCGCTTTCATCGAGGGAGAGAAGACACATCGGCCAGTTGGCTTCCCGAAGGCTTTCACCAACCGGCGTCATTTCGCCTCTCCGATTCCAGCGAGGAATAATTTTGTTATTATTTTTTATATATCGCTTGTGCTTTGGAGTTTCTTTAGAGGTTAGATTTGTTTTATGGGGTAGGGTTGCTAGCCCTATGCCCAACCTTCCCTCTTTACTCGGGCTTAGGACCGGCTAGTAACTAGTGAACTAGTTAACCAGGCGAGGTTAATAATGCACTGCAATGGGATGCAATGGATCTTCTTTTGGCCTCTCATTTACCTTATATCTAGGAGGAGCTGAGAAATGCTGCGGACATCGAGCATTTAGAATAAAGATACCTGAAGTATTTGACGTCTGAGTGTAAATGAGTCAGCTTTCGAAGTATTTTTATGATAATGCCGAGAGTTCCTGATGATACTGAGCCCGTAGGACCCTATCGTGTCAAGGAATTCAGAAAATGGTGCATGTGATGTGTGGGTGCTATCACACAAGAACTATCACTTGCAGTTTTTAAGGACGACGGCTGCAGTTATATTTCCTGAATGTCCACACAGAAACAAGGAAAAGGAAACTGTGAACGTTTTGAATTCCTACGCTGACTCCAAGAGAACCGTTCATATCGTGTTATGTTGAGCGTGGTTGACCATCCGGAAGATTCAAAATTGCTGGTCCACTGAATACACGGAGAACCGACAAGTCTTACTCTTCTTGGGTCATGTATGTACCCATAGCCTTATACAACGTTAGTGGTTCTCTTATGTTTACTGACCGAATGGAAGACTGTTAGTCCACTCAGCAGACAGGATTGCAGATTCTCCACACCTACTCTGAGGCAGCAAGCTTTCTAGCCCAGGAATTGTGAGACAACTTCTGCTGAGCAGAGGAAGCCCATTCATATTTGTTTGCCCTAGTTTTCAAAGGCTTCTGACAGATTGAATCAGGATATTCTTTTTAAGGGACATCAGCTTATGGGTGTACACTGAAAGTGACTAAGTTGGCATAGAGATCGTCCTTACACTGGGTAGCAGTCAGTTAGAGTTGGCTCCTCTGTATCTAACTGGTTGCCGATGCTAAGTGGCATGCCTCAGAGTTCTTCTCTTATTCCCCTTCTGTTTCTAGCTGCTGTCCTCTGCAATTACACGGGATAACCACAGAGGCACAATTCAGCACATGGAGTTGTATATAGCTCCCCTTTGTGTATTCTAAGTGACATGACTGGTTGTATAATTTGCGGGGGCAATTTCAGAAACGGTTTACTTCGCTGTCATCTTGTATTTTTCCAGATGCTATCTGATACACTAGATCTGTGTAGTAAGGTGCATTGGTTACACCTGAGACGTCAGGTGTATGTTTTCGTAATACGGGGAGACCATTGGTTAATCAAACTTTTCCCTAAGAACTTTGTGCATATGTGATCAGTGCTTATCGTTTTTCTCACTGACTGCATGTAGGCATGTACCTCAGACTGTATAAATTTTTCCTTTGTTCTATATTGCAGGGTAAGCGTCCTACTACGACCAGATCGCGAAAGGATAATGTTGAAGGAATGACCTACGAACACTTACCCGGACGATAGTCCAAATGTGTCGAATACTTTGTGCCGAAGTACATATTTTCACATGAAGTAAAATGCGTTTTATTCCGTTAACGATTATGAAAAGTGCTGGAACCATGGGAAGTAAGTAGTGTTGAACTCCTTCGTTAAGTGAGCTCCTGTGCAGACGAGTGTGCACCGCTGACTTGTCATGATATTCTGGATGTCACCAAAAATGTTTAAAACACGTGAACTCGTAGGATTCTCCCCTAAGGATTCCAGGATTTCTGATAATAACTCAACAATCTAAAGCCATGGAGTGATTGTGAGTTTTCCTATCTTTCACGCCTGAATGATAACTGGCCTACTCACTGATACAACGGTTTACAGAAACAGTGTACATGTGTTCGCAGTAACCCATAGGTGTACTCAAAAAACAAATATTAAGAAATGCAGCCTGTAATATGCGGTAAAATAGTGTGGTAATATACATGATAAAAAATGTCTGTGCGAACAGTCATACGAAAATGACCATCCAGTAGGCAGGTTCAACGTCGCTTACCTGTGGGAGAAGACAATA